CTTTTAATTAAATTAACAACACAAATTGTCAGAAGCAGGCGTTGCAAATGTTACACGAACCTCAGGTATGCATAGAGCAAAAATAAAATCAAAATAAACAACAAGTATAACATCGTGGAGCAACCTTATTAAAAACGTGTCAAAAACATTTTCATAAATATATCAAGTAAACTTTTTGTGGCTTGTCAAAGTGCCAGTTCCAAGTGTCAAAGTATTCGTGGAAAGGATACGAAATCAATAAGCTGGGAATTCTTTTTTTTTTTTTTTTAAGGACGAAAAATATCGACAAGTGTTCTTATTATGCCCAAGATAATTTATTTCATTCAACAAGTCTATAAATAAATATAGTATGCCAATAAAAGTGATAGACAGCTAATCGAAATTTAATGCAATAAGAAGTTTTTAATAGTTTATATTATCACGTTTCTGTGGTTCACTTTTCACTACTTGTATGGCCGATTGATAACTACATATTTATATAACAAACCAAGAACGAAATTCATTTTTTTAATTTGTATTAATTATTTGACTTCTGTTCTAGTTGGAAAATACCCAAGTTTTATATTCAATAATTCTGTTGCTCTTTGAAGCGATGGGTCGGTGAGCTCAGAGAATATACATATAGATTTGTTTATTTAAAGCACACACTCGTTTTCAACTGTAAATATAAATTTATATCATGGCAATTGAGGAAACTGTTTTGGGACACTCTTTGGGACGTCCACTCATAAAAAAAGAAACCAAAAAAAAACTTTGTACCGTTTGCGATAAAACGTACATTGTGTTAGCTTTCGGCTGATCATACGCGTGGTAGTAGAAAAATTGGAATAACACACGATATCAATAAGCGTGGCAAATAAAATCAATTGTTATGATGCCATAACATATCACATGCCCCATCTTTAGAGATGGAGATAGTCACGCCGTTGCAATGTGCGGCAAAGTTTTTCGTTTGCGTTGGCGAAAACTTCAGAGCCCCTTTGAGTATGTCAGCATGAGTGTGTGTGTGTGTTTGTGTGTGTGCGAGTAAGTGTGGGTGTGGCATTTTTATTTTTCTTCCTCTTCTTTGTGTGCGACTTGGGATAAACAAAGCCATAACTCAAGCAACATTTTACTCGCAGCCTCACTGCCTCGACTTGCATAAACAAATTGTGCCCAAGTGCTGTAAATGTTGCTTTCCGGGTTGCGGGTAACAGGATAACATATCTCAGTTGTTGTCTCTCCGGGCATCTGCGTAAAGTGAGGGAGCAAGCTCGTCAAGCTCAGCGTAAACATGATAGATTTATAGTTGGCTCTGTTTTCTGTGGTAGCCGGCGACAACATTGCAGCAGCGAACAGTGAGCGCAACGTGCGGCATACTTAATGGCGCTCGTCGTCTTGTTGCCACAGCCGCAGTTGCCTGCTTAGCCTTATCATAGCTCGTAAACACATGGAGTACCCACAGAATCTGCTGCAATCTCAGCTGTAGTCTCGAGTTTGGGTTTGCTCGCCACTTGACTTTGTTTTCGTCAATAAATTTGGGGCAAGTTTTTATATTTTTTTTCACATTTTTTTTTGTTGTTGTTTCCTTTTGCCCCTTTGCGCCGGCTCAGCTGCCAATTCGAAGTTGGGCAGGAGGTTAGTTGGTCCACCGAAAAAAAATAGGAAACCACATGCTGGGCGCCTGTTGGCATGCCACAGATTTCACGCATTTTTTGCAGCTCTTTTTGCGGCGCCTGAACGTAGGCAAGCGTTGTGCAAATTTGCCTTTAAATGGCGTGTTAACATTTAAATGTTATTTTTACGCCTCATAAAATGGCTCTATAAAAACAAGGCAAAAGTATAAAAATATAAAAGTTTTTCAAATGTTTTGTTATTAACCAGTGAATAAAGAGTAAGCGATACGCTTTGCTGCTCACTTATATATTTTGAAGCAAAGCGCATCAGACAGAGTGAAAAGCATTTCTCAACTGATCTTAACTATCTTGAGACATGTACTTAGAAGTGAGTGAATATCGTTTACCATTTTCACTGTGTATATTCTCTATTTTGCTTACTATTTAAACAACCTGAAGTAACTTATCAAGTATATTAAATAACTATAATTCAGAGCATTGTTTATTTTCACTCTCTACAAAGTCTGCATTATTCAATTATAAAATGCTGACCAATTTATTTATTACCATTGAAGCATTTGTGTATTTTCAAAAGAATTAGAGCAGCTTTTGGTTTTTGTTTCTGTCTTTTGTGTATTTTATTTCGAAATGATGTTTTGTTTTATTGCTTATGCAAATTGGCTGACTAATTTTGTAAGGACTCACAACAATAATCCTGTAGCTTCAGTCGCTTAGTGAACCTTTTCCATAGCTAGCAAGTTTATCTAGTTCGCTTTTCCTTTTGGAATTTATAAGCACACACACACAGACACACACACACACACACACACATTCGGATATACAGCAGAAAGAGTTGTTATTTTCTTTCTTATTTTTGAGAAAAGGAAACTTTATTTTCGCTTAATGCGCTTGAATGAATTGTGCGTTGCAAATGTTGTTTTTTGGCTTTTCTTTCTTTATTGTTTTAACATTTTTGTTTGCTTCTTAGATATTGCTTTACTAAGCATTTGGCAGGTTATTTTGTTTCCGATATCCCCTTAGCCAAAAATGCCTTCAGCTTAGCTTTGTGCGCACTTGCTTTGTCCAACTCTTTGCTTTATTCGCCGAGGGTTGCGAAATGTGCAACGTAAAAAGAATTATGTTTGAATTTAAGTTCAAATTTAAGATGGGTTTTTTTTTTATAAATATTAATAAATTGTACTATTATTCGCGTTAAGTGTTTAATGGAATATATTTATTGTTTTGGCAAATATCATAATTAGAGTGTGTTTTCCAAAACTTAGAAAACGATTTCAGAGCCCTATTTTAAATGCAAAACAAAATATATTGCAAATTTAAAGCGGGTAAAAGTTTGCTATGTGCCAAGTGCAATGCGGGCGCCTCCTTCCTATCCTTTTTGATGGCATACAGTGGCTGCGGCCACGCCTCGCTGCCGCCGAAAGGACTCGACTTGACGCCAAGGTCTTTTATCAAAGCGAAAGTTGTTGCACAGTTGCATGGCCAACACACTCACACACACACACACGCACACACACAGTCGTACACACCCACCCACATAGATATTCTAGCTGTCGCCCGCTGCAGGTCAATTATCGCGCTTTGCATGCCGCGAGCAGTTCAGCTTAACCCCTCCCTCCCTCCATCCCTCCCTCTGCCACCTGCAGCTCTCCTCTCGCCACCTCCTGGTGGTTGGTGGTTGCCGTTGGCGTCTGTGGCTAAACCGAAAGCCAAACAAATTTGTAGCTTCAAGTTGGCTGTTGTACTGCTTCAGCTTCCTTCATCCTTTCCACCGTTTGCCTGTCTATCTGTCTGTCTGACTGTCTGTCTATTTGTGTATCTTTGGGTTTTGTATGACCTGCGGTTAGCAATTGCAAGGCAAAAACTTTTTCTCTGGCGCTAATTAGGCATTACGTATACGCCATGGTTAAACATCTTGAAGTTCACTAAATTGCGCTAATCATAAAACATGCACATACACACACACACTCGAACACACACTAACACACACACACACACATATAAGCCGAGCACAACTTTTAGTTGGTGGCCTCTGTGCGCCTGCAAGTACGCAACGGGTTTGTTTCAAGTGTTGCTGCTATGTAAAGTATGCCACCAACAACTACTGCAGCAACAACAAAACTCAACAGTGCCCAAGAATTGTGGCAATGTGCACTCAACGTCATTTAGTGCCACGCCCACACACACACACACACACACTTAACGCCCACATGGTGCTCCATTGTGCGCATTGACGGCGCGTGCAACGAAGTGACTAAGTTGAATGCATGAATGCATGCTTGCATAGGGGAGGGGCAGGTGGCAGGCAGCAGGCAGCAGGCGGCAGGCGGCAGTTTGGCAGTGAATTGAAGTGGGTGTGATTAGAGTGCGATTGTGTGTATGTGTTTGTTTATGTGTGTGTGTGTGTGTGTGTTTGTGTGTGTACCAGTTGTCAGTGTACACGCATAATGCATGTATATGTATATGCGTGTGGCGACATTTCTAGAGTCTCCACTTAAGTGGTTCACTATGTTACAATAATAGTTGCCTATAAATTGGTTTGTTTATTGGTAAATGAACAAGCACACAGCACACAGGAGACAATTTACTTGCTACAATAGCTACAATATATGATTATATATGTATTGGAATTGGCCCAGATATTAAAGAACACCTTGCTTAGCACGAGCTGAAAGCAAAAAAGTCAATTTGTAAGCCATGTAAATATAAAAAACTACATTCAAATACTTCGAGCACTCTCGACTGAAGCACACTTAACCAACTCACTGTGTGCGTGATTTGTAAATGCACATTCGTCCATTGAAGTGAAGAGCTGCAGCCATTTATCAGTTACACTTAACTAATGTGACTATGAAATTTCGATTCTACTCTCAGCCGATTACAATTATCTCAAGTATGGAAAATGGAAGAGTTTTTCCATTTTACAGAGCATAGAGCACACTAAATTGTTTTTAAGTAAGAAAGCTGTATTCGAGCTAGCTGCTAATCCAGCTACTCAATTTATTATTCTGGTTTTATTGCCAAATTTTCCTTTAAAAGTTAAGCGTGTGAACATGCCTGCACATGTGCAAAAAATGATTGCACCTGCTGATAGTAGTTAGAAGAATATGTTTTGGACTATAACATGGGTGTCTTTTATCCTTCTCTTCAGAAAGTTTGTGCAGTTGGTGAATAAAACGCATAACGGTAGAAATTATCGATCACAGGAAACAAACTTGATAAGTCAACTTACAGTCTGTGAAATCTGTCGACCATAAATAAGAACAAATATATATATATTTATATACCTTATGGCGTCGGGAGATACTTCATTCTGCCTGTTACAAAACTATTAATCCTTTAATCCATTTGACATGGGTTCAGGGTATAAAATAATACAAAATTGATATCATTATAAATTATAAATAAAAACATGCATATATTTGAAAGTGGGATAATGAGGCAAGCCAAAAAGTTGTCTTCTTTCACTTAGTCGCCTCTCTTAGCATGGTTGAGCTCATCGAGCAGCGTCTGCCAGCTAAAACCCATGCGACCGTCGGCCAAATGCAAGCGACAGCGATCGGGAATATGTTTGAAGAGGCGCTGGAATGGCGTGTAGCGTTGCAAGCAGCTGACATCGCCTAGAAGAATTAGCTTGTGCTTGGCACGCGTAATGGCAACCGTGAGACGACGCTGATCCTCGAGGATTTCGGCCTCACGTGACCGTTCCGCGGAGTCGGTTGAGCTGCCCGTTTTTGTGCAGCTGTAGATGATTAGATTCTTATCACGACCCTGATACTGATCAACCGTGTTGAACTCGACACCGTTTAGATCTTTGCCCAGCTGGCGCAACAGCTCCACTTGAGCGCGATATGGTGCAATGACGCCAATGCGTCTTGCATCATAGCCAGCAGCGAGTAATTGATGCAGCAGATGCATAACAATCGCCGCCTCACAATAGTTGGTATATTTGGGCGGACGACGCGAGCGAGCAGTGGTCGGCACTATTCGATCCTCACCGTAGTGCTGTTCAATGGAGTCGCCGGTCTGGCCCAACTGCTTGCTGGCTGCAGCATAGTCTAGGCAGCGCTGTGAGCAATCCGAAGTGTCCAGCAGCAGCACAGCCTGCTCCAGATGTGTTTGCAGCGCACGCTGCACCCAGGCGCTATTGCTATTGCTAATCAGTTCCAATTGCAGCCTGGCATTCTCCACCTGCTTGCTGGCACACTGCAGCGCCTGGCCGTAGGTCAACTCATTGGCCAGTCGAGTGATGCTGCGATTCATGCGATACTGGAGTGTTAGCACCGCCGTCGCCTCCTCACAGTCGAGACGCTGGAACAGTGTCTCATCGGCGCCACGCTGACGTGCCTCACGACTGCGCACCAGCGGTGGCAACTGCTCCGGATCGCCGACGAGTATGAAGCGGGTGCAGTGACTCAGCGCACGCAACACTGTCGGCTGCAGCACTTGTGTCGCCTCGTCCACAATGCAATAGTCAAAGTGACGCTGCTGGAAGAGAGCGTGTCCGGCGCCCAGACACGTAACGCCCACAATGCTCGGCTTGTGCAGGACTTGCGTTAATTGGTCCACCGTTTCGCAATTGGAGGTAAGCTCGGCCTCGCTAATTGCCAGCAACTGCGGATGAATCCGTGCACTGTTGCCCAGTCGCAGCATAGGTAGATTATGTGGCAGCAGTCGCAACAGCAGATTATCCACAGCAGAATGCGTTTGCGCTGTGATTAAAACACTGCGCTCCATCAAATGCAGCAGTCGCACAATGGCCACCAGTGTTTGGGTTTTGCCTGTTCCCGGCAGACCCTTAATCAAGAGATGTGTGCTCGTGGTGAGCGCTCTCAAAGCGGCCAGCTGTTGCACCTTGTTCAGCGGACGCAGCATGGGTCCGCCCTTGCTTCCAATAATGCGTGGCACAACTTTGTGCTGCTTTGGCGGTGTCCTTGCCACCACGATGGAACGCAACTCAGCGGATTTTTCACTGGCCTCTAGCAGCAGCGCCAGATTAGTGTAATTAAAGCTGGCAAAGCTTTGCGACTCATGCTTGTCCACAATGAAGCTCTCGTCTGTATAACGCTGGCCAAGATCACGCTCCAGCTGCACGCACAAGCTGCGCGTCTCCAATCTCGTTATGTAGCCAGCGGCAATGGCCAGACGTGAAGTGCAGCTAACGGTTACATATTCTCCCAGCTCAAACTGTAAATAAATTTGGACTTGATTCGGCACTGGGATAAATACAATGCGTCTAACTAGGATTACCCACTTGGATATTTGTTATGTAATTGCCCACATTTTAAATGGAATTTGAGAGACCTTATTAAATTAGTTTACAACAAGGTAGATATAGGATCGGATATATTGAAAATATAAAATGAATTACTTTATAAAATTATAATTCAAGAACTTTATCGAAATTTCTCTATAGAATTGATGAACTTTTAAGAATGCATAATTTCGTATTATTAATTTTTCGCTACGCATGTACAAAAATTAGATTTTTACTAATTTCAATCAATCCATTTACTTCTGTAAGCAGCCTAATTTTTAAGTCTCTTAATCAGGCTCAATCAAATATATATAAATATATTTAAGGGCAATTACATAAAAATGTTCCCGTAGATTATCATAATTAAACGCATTGCAGACATTTTGAGAACTCACGCCGCTGAGATTTAGATTGAAATCCTTATCTGCCTGTGCTGATAGCACCAACTTGTGCTCGAAGCGTCCATCCTGGAAGCGGGCCTTATGCCCCGTGGGCAGCTCCAGCTGATGAATGGCGCGTCCCTGCTGCTGGCGCCTCGCAGGCGTTTCAGTCCAAAGCGAACGCAGCTGATGCGACTGACGCGCCTGTTGCTCCTCGAGAGCTAGAAGGCCGCACCAGTGCAGCACATACTCATTATCTGGCTGGCCAAGATGCGATAAGACTTGCGGCATTAGGCGGCGCAACGGATGCGATTCACTTAGCTCCAGCTGAGGATCGGTGCTGGCAAAGCTGCAACAGAGTGTGGCATAGGCACAATTGCCGCACGCACTGTGATGTGAGATGGGTTCAGGCAGTTCAAACGGCTGCAGCAGTTTGCCGGGCTGCTCGGGCAGCGAAAGTGACACCGATTCTTGTCCAGTCGCTGGCAGCTGAGCGTCGCGTGTTAGATAATGCGCCAGTTCGTTGCGCAGCAGGATGAGATCACGCTGCTCGTTGCGACCCTCGCGCACCTCACGCATGATGCCCTCACGCAGATAGAGCAGCAGGCCGCTTCTCGTCTCCTGGCCAAGCGCCGAGTGCATCAACTGATACAGCAACAATTGGCCCTTGTGCTCCATAGAGAAGCTGGCGCGTCCTGTTTTCAACTCAAGCGGAATTGGATGCTTCTTGTTGCGCACACGTACGGACACATCCACTTTGCCCTTGAGTCCCATTTGCGGCACCCACAGATTCTCCTCAATATCCTGTATCTGTTCAATGCGACCAGCGAACGTTTCCGGCAGCTGTACGGCTGGAGATTCACCCTCCAAATACTGTGCAATAAAGGCAACAATAGGTTCCACAAATTTATGCAATTGCAGCTCGATCTCGGCACGACTCAGCTGTGCGGCATACAACTGCTGAGCGAGCTGAGCGCTGTGCAGCATTCCCTGCAGTGCATCCTCAATCTGTGGCTTGCGACGCAATCGCTGTGCGAGCACCGTTTGCAGCAGCTCATGCACCAGGGTGCCTATGATCATCTGCAAATGGTATGCTTATTCTATATATATTATACACATGATCGAGGACTACCACTTACGACCGCATTAGCCGAGTCCACGCCGCGAAAACGATCCTGCAGCACCGCTTTGCGCCGGCAGAAAAGAGAGCCGGTGACTGAAGTGCTGGAAATCAAAAGATCCGGATGTATCACACAATAGCCATGCTCCTTGTTGATCGCATAGGCAGCCAGTGTGGGTTGCCAGTGCGCCTGTAGCGAGAGCAGATCACCAGTCTGGATGGGTGTCTGGTTCCAGGGTGCCTGCAAATGGCAAACAGCTTTTCCAGCTTCCTCCTCCTCGCCGCTCAGTTCCAGGAGCAAATCATGCGTTTTGGGCAAACGCTCCACATGGCGCACCACACAGCGTTGCCAGCCGCTCAGCTCTAGGCGAGGATTTGCGCTCACAGCTGCATCCAAGGCACTCACATCGAAATCCTCGTCGTCGTCCAGCAGAAAATCATAATTTTCCTGTTCTTGGGGCTGCGGCGGCGTTTGAGTATCGAGATCGATTTGCTTTTTGTACCTTTTGCCTTGTGCCGGCAGATTTTCGACCTTGCTGGGCGATAGCACTCGCTTAGCCGCATTCATAGCTGTTTGCTTTTACCAATATTCTCAAATTAAACTATTTAACGCATATTATGTATTTATTTATTGTTCGCGCCAAAATAAATGAGTCAGTGTGCAGACACTGGTTGCTGCACATATTTACAGAGATAGAGAAACTGAGCGAACGTTCATTTAGTTCGTTCGCTCATTTTTGATTCCGATAACGCTTCGCTCAGTTCTTTTCAGTCCGATCGTTTGAATCCGATCATTTGTTGGCGCGCGCTTATCGTTTGCGGCTGAATAGTTGCTCGAAACACATAGCGGCGGTCTTTTTTCTAAAGTTTAAATTATTTTGCTAAAATTAAATTAAATACTGCAAATTAAGAATCTAATTAAATAAGCTGTATATGTTGCATTGCAACACGAGATCTTCAAAATGTAGAAGACCATTTGGCATTAATGGATTTAAAAAACATTTTAATAAAGATTAAGTTTCAGTAACTTTAACGCAATCGACAATTATATATAAATACATTTATTTAAGAAAGATCTTATTTAGATTAGAATAAAATGTAGAACCAATGACCCTATTTAGACAAGAATTAAGTGCAGAAGAAAGAACTGCAAGTGTAACGAGAAAAAAAAACACCCTTGCCATTCACACCTTTCCAGCTCGTAACCCTTATGATGCTCATTAAACTGAAGACTAATTGGCCAGTCAGGATAACACGTCCGAGACATAAAATGCTCTTAAAAACGAACAGACTTTCACTGTCCCAGTCGCAGATTGTCGGTGTCTCTATTGTAAAGCTGCAGCACCCGACGCAGCACCAGCAGCAAAGGGGACGCTGAAACACGAAAATCCGCAACTGCTTGTGGCTGTCAACTAAATTTCATATGCAAATCCTTGGCCCTGACTATCGCTACCTGATAATCTACTTGATTTATGCGGCTACACTGGGGCACACAGACAACGCTAATAATGCCCTGCCGCCTGTGGCGTGCCGGGCACATCATTAATCTCGGGCTCATGCGGGACGTGGCCGACTTGGCCACATGGCACTTGGGCTAGCTGTCCAGCTGAATGTGTGTGTGTGTGTATCTGTGTCTGTGAATAGATGTGTGTGGCAGCCACGCGGCTGACCTTCAGCATAATAATTCAATGTTAGTGCTGCTGGACGGATTTTGTTCGCACAGCAACAAAGACACGTGCTAATTGCTAATCAGAACAGATAAGACAACGAGCTGCCCTTTCATTTCCACCCCTCCTCGCTGCTCAGTCCTCCTCACGTTCCCTACCGCCATTAAACGATGCTGTGAAGCGAAAGGCATTTTATTTTTAATGGCCATTGAGGCACTTCCTTAAAATGCTTCAACCATTTGGTTGCATTGCTTATCGCATACAGCTGTCGTTCTTGAGTTTTTCATAATGGAAAGCACAGATTTTGTCCCCCCTTTCTTTGGGTGTATTTGTGCGTGTGTGTTTTTGTAGTGGGAGGGGGGTGTGTTGGGGAGACTGACAAATGATCTTTGCTTATGGAAATAACTCACATTGTGTCTGTCATCTGGCATTAGAATGCTGCACCCTACTTTCAATCTCACTCACTCCCTCTCGCTCTCTCTTTTTGTATGCCCTTGGTGAGAGTATTTTTATTTGGTGTTGAAATTTGTAACGCATTGAAAGAGAATAACACCGAATCCAAGAAGTATATTCATATCTCAACAACTTTCTTGACTGTCGTGTCAAAAGTGATCAAATTTAAGGTGCTAAATGATAAATGTTTTCGAGAATCACAAACATCTTAGCTGAATATAAACAACAACAAAAAATATGATATTGTGATACATAAGCCTAAAAATAGCTTATTGAATCACATTGCTTAAGATCAATGCTCCAATCTAAGATTTGGCAGAGACATTTTATTGAAAATATATAACTACTTTTTGTTTGTGCTTAACGTAATCACTTCCATTTATTATTTAAAAATCGCCTTCCATGCCTATCTAATAAAGGTCTGAAAGGGTATTTAATATTCCACATGCTGAATTTAATACTCTTGCCATTCTTTCACTTGTTATAGTTATAACCACTTGACTTTTCGAGGGCACTCTTTCAGTTTCATTTCTTTTCACATGTCAACAAAGCCATCAACACATTTCACACGCGCTCCTTTGTTTAAATGTCACATTACATAATGATACTTAACACATAGCACAGACGTTGGGGTTTGTAGGGGTGGTGGGGGGTGCTACATTAGGGATGGTGGTGGAGTGTGTCCTTTTTATGGCTGGCGCGCTAACAAAAGGAAAAACATTTTCGACGTTGTCTTCGTTGTCGCCACTTAAATGCCAAATTAAGTGTAATTTTTATTGTGTTTACAGCGCCACAACAACACCAACACCAACCAACCAGCAACAACAACAATTTCAGCACTTGACAAATTTGATTTTTCCTGACTGACTTTGTTACTTTCCGTTACGAGCCGCCCCTTGTCATCACTTGAATGTCGTTTGTTGTCTTGACTTCTAATTGTTGATGTAATTGTTATGCATATGTGTGCCAGAAAGAGACAGACACCCCGACAAGCGACATGAGATTGAGCAGGATAGAGCGAGTGCTGTCTGCTGGGTTAACTAATTTTAACTGCCGGCTAATTGCTGCTAGTTGCGAAGGATACGCTTAAATAGAAATGACGACAACATTTACGGCCAACATTTTGACGAAATGAAATCAAAACGATTCTGAAGCACCTTGACGGCGGTGTGCAAATGTTTATAAATGACTTGCTTTCAAATAGCAAATGAAATTATGACTAATTGGCAAATATGATTTGTCAAATCATGTTAGCCAAATTGAAAGCAATTATCTGTTAAACTCACATCCCCACCAAAGCATAAAGTAATGGATGTGGATTTGATGCGTGATCTATTTAGGAGATTGTCAACAATTCAACATGTCAAATTCAGATTGCTTGAGCTCGAGAAAAACTTTATAAATGATTTAGGTAACCGCATTTAGATAGAAATAATAATTACCATATATACATGAATACATATTCCACCCAAAGGATCAATACAGAAGTAAACTCATTTTATTTTTTTAACTGTAATTCAAGAAGTTCTGATAGTCTTTCCAGAAACATAACTTTCCCAAATATGAAACGATTTTCAAGAATCAGGTCGTTTTAAGAATGGTTTTATCCCTTCGTTAATACAGCATTTAAAATTGAAAACTGGATTTCAGCTCCAAACTCATGCTACAATTATATCCTCTAAAAGTCGTGGTCAAATTTTTCCAGAGCCATAACTTTGTCAAAAGTGAATCGATTTTCAAAAACCAGGTATTTTTCATAATGATTTGACCGTTAGATATATATTGCAATTGAAGTTGGACACGCGATTTCAGCTGTAAATTCTTGTTAAAATTCCCTCAAAAAGTCCAAGTAAAAATGGTTCATAACTTTCCAAAGCCATGGCTGTCTAAACCCTCAAGAATGTTGGGTCCGGAATTCGAGCCAATTATTTGTCAGCATGTACAAAAAGTCAGTTCTCAATTGCAGTGCGACAAACATCAGTATCAAAGTCAATGTCAAAGCCAAAGTTAAATAGCCCATTCTGCTTTTATGCGCATTTTCAGCAACTACAAGTGGATGCCACTTGCGAACTTTACATTAGCCACTTGATACACAATACACAGTCCCAAAAGGCTACACACACACACACAGCCATATTTGAAGTAAGCCACTAAAAAGTCATCAAAGTCACACAGCTAATTCGTTAGGAATGTCAAAAAAGAAAAACAAACACACAAGTTCTTATCATAATTGACGCTGACCACAAATAAACACACAAAAATGCCCACACACACACACTTATTTACGCACACACGCACATTTCACACGCCGTCAGCCTTTGTTGCATATTTAGCGGTGCAAATATTTGGGATGTCAGGCCAGAAGTATGCACACATATATATATATTTAAATATATTTACATGCTCATGACAATGTTTGGCATGGATTTAACTTAACCCCAGCATATCACTTATGGTGTCTCCAGCCAACCTACTCCTAAAGGGCCACTCCCCTCCTTGCCCCTTGTTGTGGCGGCAACACATTTGCTCATTAGCATTATTGCCTCCGACTTCACTGTTTGCTTGTCTTTCTCGTTTTCTTTTCTGCCCTCGCAAATGAGAATTTCATTAACGTTATTAATATTTTCATTGTTGAGCATTTTGCATGCCTTCCAGCTGCCTCGTAGTTTGCTATATACATATATATACATATATATACATATATATATGTGCCAAAGTAATAACTTGATTATGACGTTGACTTGGCTCACGTTTTTGTTGGTGCTGTTTTGTTTGTTGTTGTTTGCTTTTTGTGTTTTACATTTTTCATGGCTTAATAATTGCTCATTTCAACTGCAGCTGCCTTTTGTTTGGTTTGTTGTCGTTGTTGTAAACAATTATGAGGCCACTTAAATAAATTTTATTGCCTTCAGGCATTGTCCTGGGCCGCCTACAAACAAATTGACAATTATTTCGCTCGTTGGCCAGCCCCAAAATGACAAACGAGCGGCCAAAAAGTTTTCGTGCCATTTATTAGCTTGAAAGTTTTGCGGGTGTGATTTTGATTTAGCTTCGAGCCAAATACTGCTAAGTGGCAGCACCAACAGCAGTGGCAGTGGCATCAACAGCAGTGGCAGGACCAACAATAACAACAGCAGTTGCCTAATGAAGTTTTCAATGGCCAAGCAGTTGAGTTAACTCAACTTTGCAAAACAATTGAGAGTTAGCGTGTTGAATAAGTGGCAAAAACTTGACATTTGAGTTATGAACGTTATATTTATCTTTACTCACTTTGTAATAGTGAGCATTTTGCAAAGTTATACCTGATTATATTAATTACTGCAATCAGGTAAACTTATCAATCGCAAATTGACCCCATAAACAAATACGACTGACATTTTGATAAAGGACAATAATTGGGGGAACAGCAAGCTCAGCTATCCAATTAAATGCGCAATTTAAATAACTAGCATCACTTTGGCCAAGCTAAATGCTGTTTTGTGGAAAATGTCCTATTTATTATATTTTGTGTGCTGTTTGAAACTTATTTCATAGATGCATGCGATTGCAAAAAGTTTGTGGTAAAATGGTTATAGCTTTGAGTTGATAATTAGCTTCAAATCATATTTTAGTTCTAGTTTATGAAACGTTATATTTTGTTGCTCAAATCTGTGGCATGTATAAAATAAAGCCATAAATAAAGGGGTGGCCTTTAGCAGAATAGCTGGATTTACATTTACAGTCTAAGCTATATTAACCATTTATCCAATCAAGCATTTAAAATATTTAACCTGAGGGTTCATAGCTGGATAAAATACAGCCGACGTTAACGTAAAGTAATCACTGAATAAGTAAGTGTTTTCTGAATAATAAGATACCCTTGGAGCCATATTTTGTATAAGTCTCTAACCTGTGGAACTGGGATAAATAAATAATAATATTAAAAATTGAGGTTTATGAAAGGCTTGCCTATTATTAAATATTTAAAATACGCTAAATTCCAACTTAGATAAATTAACATCATTCAAATAGATAGCAACAAGAACAAGTTACCAAGTAAATTGGGGACACACAGCTAATTTTAAATTTAGCAGTTAATCGCTTTAATGCACGCCTATTCAACTATTCAAATATAAACACATCACATTTTAATTTCCATTGCGCTGCCACTGTTTTTGAGCTTGTAGCGTTGTTAATTTAGTTATTGCAACCAACTAGAAATCTAATGTTACATGTTAAACAACAAGTGAGTCGCATTTGTGCAGCGCGGTTTTTTGGGCGCCCTTTACAATATAATTGTTCAATATAATTAAATAAATAAATTCAACATATTGCGCTGCCGGAAATATTTATGAGGAAGCCATACTGGGCTGTCACAATGCAATTATGTAATCAAATTATGGAACAATTAGTAGACTCACCATTGTTAACTGTGGAGCCGCCAACGCTGCCGCCCACGTTTCCGTCGCTGCTCAGCGCCAGGGTTGTCAATGTCTCGAATATCAGCAGAGCTGTCAGCATGATGAAGAGTAGGTTGCACATTTTGGACAAGTAATTGATACCAAAGTGTCTTCCAATTGTATGATATTATGCACTAAATTTACTTTATATTTTTGAACTCTTTCAATTAACGCAAACTTTTTATCATCGCGAAAAGCACGTTTTATATATGGCCTCTTTTAATTGGGAGTTTGTAGCGTGTTGTGCAACGTGTGAGTTGATTTAAATGTTGCACATTTAATTAATTCTCAATTTCTTTGTTGCTTCTTTTTTCTGGTCTTTTGTGCTGCAAATAGAGGGAAAAAAGAAATTATGAAATATCATGAAATATTTTATCAATGGCGGTCATAAATTTGCTGTTAAATTAAGAGACACGCTCCAATTTGCTGATACATTTGTGTATATTTAATACAGAGCCCGAAAAGCCGACTTTTCTGATTTATTTGCTAGCCAAACAGCGTGGTCAAGAAACAACAATAACAGCACCATCAGCTTGCGGGACGGCGGTGGTAAAAAAGCAGTGAAAATTCTTGATTGAATTTCGCCTGACGTAAGCGGATTAAAAAGAAATTCTATGAGAACAAAACAAAAAAAATTAAATAAAAATAAATAAAAAACACACACACAGCAAACAAAAATAATAATAAACCAAAGTATAAAACAAACCAAAGCATAACGGTCAAGTCATAAAAACGCAACAGACAAATGAGAGCTGCGTGCTTGGCAGGGGCAATCAGCAGCATACAAAAAGGGACACGAGCCAAAGGATTTTCAATGGGCAACTTCCGACACGTATCCACTGACTACAGGATGTCTCCACAATAACTATAACTAACTGAGGCATCCGCACGTGGAGAGACAATTAGCATGTAGTTATTAAATTTATATACATTTTGTACATATTTGATTTTGTCTCATTTACTTGTCTACCTTTTCATATGACTTTTGCTGCATGTGGCAGCTTATCGGTTTGCCTTCGTGTTCACTCTATAAAATGTTCATAAATGAAGCATCGATTGCACATTATGAACTACCCAAAATCGACGCTATTGCCAATAACTCTGCCAGTGGTCTAGCACTTGAAAAGCGCTTAACAGCTTACCCTATTGCTGTAGCCATTCAAGCCAGGCAAATGCCATGGCCATCATCATCATCATCATCATTATCTTCATCATCAAATCCCTCGTCAGTCTCTTAGTCTCTTGGCATCATCGTTTGCTCGGCTTTTGGTTTGCGTTTGCATATATGACAAGACGAATGTACAGACATGCCCTTAGTTTCATAAATACCCTGGACTTGAAATCCTACAATACTTTCTGACTGTATAGAAATAAAAAAAAAGGCAACAAATACTACTGGAAATATTTAATAGTAATAACTAAATGAATAAATATTATTGTTAACTGCCTTTCATTATATAATTTAAGGTTCACTACGAAAAAGAGTTCGCAAGATTAAATTATATAATTCACACTAAATTGCAAGATAAATGAAATTACTCACTTAAACTAATTAATAGTAATTATTATATATTTTATAGATATTATTATTGACTGTATTTCGCCATATTTATGTAAGGCTCATACCGATTATAAGGCAGATAAGCTGTAGATTAAGACAAAGATGAAGTTAAAACTTTCTCGTACTAAATTTAGTAGTTATAAATTTTTAAAAATAATTACTGATGTTAATGGTTTTATTTATATTTTCAGATGCCTTTGTTTTACTTTAGCAGCGCTGCCATTAAAACGGTACAGAAAACAAGACAAAGAAGAATTTTAAAAAATAAGAGTAGAATTTAAGAATTCATTCAAAGTAGTCAAAGTAGAAGAAAAGTTTGTTGAGTTATAGTTTTAATTAAGTACATAAACTGCATTTATATATGTATATTTATATAGTATGAATTATAAATTCTATTGATCTTAATTTATATATTTTGTCTATCATTTAAATTTGAACAATAAAGAACTATTTTATCTCATCTTTTTTCTTAAGGTATTTGCACGTCAATCAACTTACAACGCTGTCTCCATGTTTGACATTTTCTTTTAGCCTGGTCATGTCATAAGCGCAAAGCAATTTGCTCTGTCAGCTGTAGATCTATGCATAGACTCCGCTCTGTTCCACTTCACCACTATGTCAGTCAACTCCACTCCACCCTTTTCACACCACACCAAACCAAACCACACCACACTACTTCTGTCCACAATTTGGCCCTCAAACTGTTCGCTCTATTGCAATATGAATGCATTTTAATTGAAATGCTGCCGTTGCTTTCTTAACAACAGCTGTTGTGGTTTTCTCGCTGCATTTGTATTGTTTTTATTAGGTTCCGCTCTGTTTTGTTTGTCTTTTGTCCAAGTTAGTGAAATCAATTTGTTAGCTTAATTGAATTTTGGCATGCCTTTAAGCCGCAGCCGTTCAAGCACCAAAAAAGCTGGCCAATTGCAATTTGCCTGAGTGTATGCAACACATGTATGAGAGACATGTTTGACATGTCTATTAGACGCCAAACACTCACACACCACACACACACACACACACACACACACACACACACACAAGCATGCAGAGCTATGCATGTTTTAAAATGTTGTTCACGGCCCAACGATTTGGTACAAGGCAATGTGTCCCTTTCCACCTCTTCCCCCTTTCCAGCAGCCCCAGTTCACCTCAGTTCACCCTCGTGCTCGTCAGGGCAGGACAAGCAGCATGCTTTTTGTATTATTGCCAAAAGTTATTATGCTGTGGCATTCCATGAATTTTGCTTTATGCTGCATACTTTGCGGCTGGTTGAGAGTTGTACCAGTTGCTGATCTTGCTGTTGTTGTTATATTGTTATTGTTACCGGTTTTCTATTTGCTTGAAGAGAACTTTAAGCGCGTAATTTTTGCAATTTGGCTAATAGCGAAAAGTCAACTCTGCACCGCCGGCTTTCAATGGCCGTTGACAGTGAGTAATGATGGACTGAGATACCGTTAGCGAGTGCAACTGCGCGTAATGTGGACAACAGTTGCCCTCTCACTCTCGCTCTCTCTCTTTCTCTCTCTCTCTCTCTCTCTCTCTCTCTCTCTCTCTCTCTCTCTCTCTCTCTCTCTATTAATATCAATATTAATATCAATGTTTATGCCCACAATGCAGGCCAACAAAAAATTAAACTTCCTCGCGGCAGGCAACACCAATTGAAGATTTACCTACTTTTCTACATCTTATTTTTAAGTCTGTTATTTCTTCACCCTTTCTACTTTTGAAGCATTTGTTGGCCACCAGGCCACACAACAAAGGAGTCGGCGGGGGTGTGACGGGGGTGTGCGTGTGCAGTCGGCGCCTCCTGCCAAGTGCTGCATTCAGTCGCTTGTGCATAATAAATCAATTTACGTTTTCTCTCGCCACACGCAGAAATGAAATGCAAATAACGCCAACAAACCGTGAACGATGCAGTTTATATATGTATATATAAATGTATGTAGAGTATGAGCCCGAAGCAACTGCTGATGTAAGAAGACCAGGGACAGGGACGGGGGATGTGGCAAAGCCAAGGGCTGAGGAGCAGGCAACACTTTTCACCGCAAAGATTTACGCGCACTTAAATCACAGCCACCAGAATTGATCGCCTTGAATGTAAAGCGCCAATGGAATAAGAACCAGTAAGAATCTCGTCGAACTGAATACGCACGACAATGCTTATACCATATACACACTCTGCCAGAGACACGAAAAAAGCATTGCTAGTCTTATAAATATATAAATAAATAGTTTATTCATTTTCGTACAGCTTTATCTCCTCTCTTTCAGTCAAACTAGTGCCGAGGAAAAATTAAATAAAATATTTAAAGCTGATATTGGCGGCTGTTAAATCATAACAATTACTTTCCGGATGGACTCAAGTGTTAAGAGCGTATTGTACTTGTACAGAAGACAAGACATCATGCCCACTTATGCTGTATAGGGTATACATGCACAAATAGCTAAAGCTTTGCAAAGAATCTGCCATGGGAGCTGAAGGCGCCGGTAGTTGGCCATTTGGTAAAAGTTGAAGTGTTTGCACTTATTGTGACACTTAATGAGCATAAAATATGTTAAATACTCAGCTGTTGTTGTTATTGTATTCCGAGCTGAAACGATTCGTGTTTTATGCAAAATCGTTGATGGACATCAACGGTTGCCAGTCGCCAGACAATGTCTTAATCATCATGATGATGTATTGCAATGGAGATATTGAAAGTTGGAAATGTAGTAGAAATTGACTTTTTTCCTGTATATTTGTATAAGCATCGAGCCGATTTGATTTCACTTTATTTGGGACGACATTTTGCCAAGTTAGTTATCCAATTCCTTAAATCGTAAATAGGAATATCTTGGAAAATGTTTATATTCAATATATTTTTTGACTATCGATTCTTAATAACATTGCACTGATAATAATATTGTATACCATTTTATATATCCATTTAGCTTATTTCCACATTATTCGCTACTATAAGAAAACCACTTACCTATCCAAACCAATAAATCTCTAAATTTTTGTCAGACACTGAAATGGGGCCAAAAACAATCCCTGTATTGGCAATAATGGCTTAGCCTATAATTCTAAGCTGGCTCAAGCGCCAAAATAGTTATGCAATTGGTAAATATCGTTACGATCCGATAATCTTTTAGATTTAGATGTCGAATCCGAATTGTGTACAATAAAAAGATAAAAATATTGCACTTTCTAATATATCAGCATAATAGTTATTGCTTTAAAGCGACATCCAATTACCCTTCAACTAAGATATTTAATTTACAAACCTATCTCAAGGTGGCTGCGAAATAATTATAGCCACCTTATATATATAACTCATAAGTTGCACCAATAAATACGGCATTAGTCTATTTATTCAAAGCGCTCTTGTTACTAACTTCAGCTGCTTTTGGTTTTCCACAATTTTCATAACTAGATTTTAGCGAATTTTCGCACTTCAATTGGTATAATTACACGTAGTAGAAATGCTGTTAAGCCACAATTGCAATTCCAATGAATGTTCTGAGCTTCACATACACACACCAAACCAATGCGACTACACACATGAGGCACTTAGCGCCTTGGCTAGTCTAGTGTTCAATTTGCTACATTTGTTAAGCCAAGTTAAGATTAAGTTTTCAGTGCGTGATTTTTCATGTACAACAGGCCTGCATTCGTCGTGGTAGTAAAACTTGCTGAGAAGTTGCATACGGTGAAATTGCCATTGGGGCCTCCCCAAATGCTCACATTTGGCGCTGCAACGGATGCAGCACATAAACAACAAAGCGAACAAAAGTACAAAAAGCAACATTTTGCAGCGCTTTGCTGCTGCACGCATTAATAAACAAAGCAGACAGCAAAAGTGTTTAATACTTCCCTTAACGAAAAGGGAGCCATGGGGCAAGGGTTCGGTAGTGCCTTACAAATGGCCGTCTGAGATGGAAATGAACATCTGCAATGCCAGCTGCTTTTACTCACCAAGAATATACAACAAACATTTGGATCTGTTTGCTTTCGATTTGTATCGACCGAATTTAGACACACTTTGAGTATGAATCGTCAGTTTGCCCCCTTGTAAATCATTTGATTTGTTTAGCTCAAATGCAAATGCAAGTTTTGAGCAATGCTAATTAACCGAATAACGAATTCGAAAACTAATTTGCTTCGATTTATCTACATTATTCACATTCTATGAAGGAGAAGTTATTTCCTGAGATATCATTGCTAAATAAAAATTGCATTCTCTTACCAGTTCTTTGAATCTTATTAGCAACTATTTACTCTGATCTTATCTGCGCACAAATTATGATCTTCTTCGAAATTATTACCAAAAGTAATCAAAATTCAACTGAAATTGCCACTCCTTTTAAATATCTAAATAAAAATAATAGAAAACGCAAGCGATCTCCATTTCTCCAAAAGCAACATACTTTAGCGAAAGCAGCTTACATTTGTTATCCTTACACCTTATTTGTTGAAACTAGTTTCCCCGCATTTTTGTGGTCTGCTTTCGCATGGGATTTTCATTTTCATTATTTTCCTCTTTGTCTTACCATCTAATTCACAGAGATTAATTTTAAGTTCTTTGTAACTTTGGTTCCCCCGACTTGCTAACTCACCGTGTCAATTTTTTTTGCGAAGGGGGATGTGCAGCTGGGCAGCCTGTAAATCTAATAATAGATCAACGAGACGACAGCTCGACGCATTTTGATGTTTGTTGCAGATCGGTTTATTTGCAGCACTTGAAGCACAAGAACTGAACTAGGCAGATGAGTTAGAGACATATATATTTAGTTGCAGACACACCGACGCCGGCACAAACAAACGCACACACACATTTACACATAGTATATTAATACATATATTAGGCAATTGTATGCAATTGATGGACAGAAGCTTTTAATTGCAAATAGATTATTGTGATTACTATGCTGGCTAAGCATAGCATATAAACAACAACAAACCAAAGACGCGTCTGTGGCAAGGCTAAGGCAACCCGAAGAACGAATTATAACAGCGAATAAACAACAACCGCGCACAACGACAGCCGATTTGGCACTGAAACGAATCAAGAAACGAACGCAGCAGCAGCAGCAGCAGCAGCAACAGCAGCAACAGCAACAGCAGCAGCAGCATCAACAGCCAATGTCGAGCCCGAAGTCCGTGGCAAACATACACAGAGCCGAGACGAAATGCAGACAAAAGTCATCGTTGGTCGTCGTGGACTTCGGCAACTTTATGTTATGCAGCAGGGCAAGCGTGGCAAGTACTTAGTCCCAATACAGTTTTAGAGAATCCGATTGGATTATATTATTCCATTTGATAGCTAATTCAGTTAACAAAAATGTGCGTAAATATTGTGGCCATAACAAGCTTAACAACAACAATAAATACAACAGCGATTTCTAACCTCCATAAAAACATGACCATAACCATCATATTCATTTTTACATGAGAAATAAACAATAATCCTTTGGGCATATGTGATTATCTCCAATTTAAATACTCGTTATACCAATGAACATCGCGTAAGAAAAGACTATTTGTTCTCTATTCAGTACGCCCGTAGCTGCGATTGAAAATGTACAAATATTTCAAGATCTAGGCACTTTAGTCAATATAATATCTAACAGACGAATTGCATGATATTAATTATTTGATCATATGTATGTAATACAAAGCTAAATTTTAAAAATTTTAAATTTGTATTTTATAATATCTAGTATTTGAACTATAGATAAACATTTTTCTGATAATTTCTAAGAATCTAGTTCGTTTTTCGAGTATAATTTGAAAAGTCTTTTCTCTTTCATTTTATTTTTTGTTTGTTTTTCGTTTCTAAAATAATACATAACACATAAAATACATAACGAGCATAATGATGAAACGCTTATTATTAAAAGCCTGCATCGCCTTGTGCATAACATTTTCCCAACCAATTAACAAAGTAGATTTCATGTGTTTATGTTGTATGGATATGTGTCTAGCATATGGTATTAGAAGCATAAGCAAATGTTGCTGTTTTTACTTAACTTTAACATTTCAGTCTCTGCATTTAACATGCATGAGCATGTAAGTTTGAATAGTTGCTGGGGGCTTGAAGCCGTTGTACATTTAATGTATTTTAAAATACATATCCAATGGCATTGTGCGTGTGTGCGTTTTGGATGCATTAAAAATTGCTGGCTAGTCGAATTTTTATGGCACACATGTGTGAAATAATGAATATTTTGAAGGGAGACTGCTTAATGGAAAGCAATAAGAAAAATATTTATGAAATTTCTGTATACAAGAAGTTGAAGTCGAAAAAATGAGCGGAAAACTGTTGATCACTTGTTAGTTTCAAATTAATTTTCTAAGAGAAAAATGTCTTCCCGACTGCATTCAATTTTTTTGTGAAAAATTCACATTTCATCCATTTTGAATGGTAAAAACGCATTAGTTCGGCACCAAGAAATCCATTTAACAGTTGTGATGATTTAACATGATAACTTAACATTCCTTATGTTCTATAACAGGCAAGGACACTCTTACACTGTTATGCTAACCCCTCTACGAAAAGCAGCATTAACAGTGGCGATGAAACAACATCTGCCTTTCAGCAGTATGTAAAGTAATCACCCCATGAACATATGTTAAGTTAGAACTGTTACTTACTTGTATGTTAAGTCATGAAAATTTACCACTATTTCCCCAAAAGTTGTAACTGAGCTTTAACAGTGCAGCAGCGCAGAGCTTTTAACTGCTCAAGCTCGAAATTTAGGCAGTTTAGAAAAGCTTTTAGCACTTGACGCTTCCTTATTGACTTCAGCGGCAACTGACAACTGCAAAGCAAACGGTAGAAACAACAGCTGACTGTCAAAAGTCAGCCCCAACCCCTCGCGTAGACAAGTTTGCCAGCGTCAGCTGGAACAAAGTGTAGTACAACAGAAAGTTTTGCAACTGTTTCAGTTTACACACACGAATGGAAGCCAGTGGAATCATGCGGTGCGTCACCAAGTGACGTTCACACATGGTCAAAACAGTTACGCGTGTCTCGAGGCTTTCTTTGTCTTAGTGCCAAAGTCAGTGAGTGTGTGTGTGCGAGTGTGCAAGTGTGTGTGTTTGGAGTAACATTGAAAAATGCTTGGGACAGACAATATAGCCAAAACTAGAAGAAGGAGACAAGCAAACGCAGAAAAGTGAGCCTTGACCTCAAGCAATGCAAGTGCGCAGCCAACACCAACAACAACAACAAACAAAAGCATAACACAGACAATCTGACAAAAAGGAAAGCAGTGAAAAGTGGGCACGTCATGCCACCCACCGCGAGTCAATTAAGCCACGCAACATTAGCGTAAAATTTTACTCGCCTCAAAAGGAGCGTAACAAAAACAACAACAGCAATAGCAAACAAATCAACTGTGGCAACAACAACAGCAGCAAGCAGCACCAGCAGGCAGCCCTGTAGAGCATGGGTTCATGTCTCAGCAGCTGCGTTGCCGCCACCGCCACCAACTCTGCCACAAACTCCGCCACAGTCTCATCATCGTCTTCCTCCTCGAGCAGCTCCACAACCTGTGTTACAGCCGTGGCCAACAGCTGGCTGCTTTGGTAAGCCAAGAAAACAGAAAAAACACTAAGCAACCTACTGCCACATTCCACACATACTGCTGCATACGCTTAATTAAAATTGCCATTTTGTTTACTATGCGACTCGCACAAAAGTATGCTATGCCACGACAAATCCAATAAGTGAACTGATGACAATCAATACAACCCCAAAGGGGCACGCCACCACTCCACCCTGCCGTTAGCTCCCTCTAATTAGCGCAATTTGTGTTGCCGCCTCCATTAAAGGGCACATTTTATGCCAGTCTTGGTAAATGTTCTTTTCTGCTCCGTCCAGCGTTGCAGGGTCAACAGCCTAAAAGTATGCAACGCTCAAGTGCGTGTTGCCTTCACTAAAACAGTGGCCAGCAGGGGCTTCTCTCGCAACATAAGCAACACAGGCAAGAAGCAACATATTTCTGTTGTGACATTAATTTGATACTCTGTGTTGGTAAAAATTTTTGAATTGGCTTTAAAACTTTAACGGTATTTTAAGTAGATTTTCTGTAGATTGTAGACTTAAATAATGTTAATTCAATTTGTCATTTTTAATGTTGTTTTGAAATTATATACTCGTATTATTTCAATTTAAGATTTGGAATATTTATATTTTTATAAACTTTCAGGCTTTACAATGAAAATGTAGTCGAGATTAGAAAATAGCAAAAATTTATATAATAATAGGAAACTGCAATATTCATAGCTAAAATTAGACTAGTTGCGATTCGAAATATATCGAAATATTTATAAAACATAAAAAACAATTGATCTTTAGCCAGCGAAAAATATATTTAAATTATAATTAGAAGTCTCCAAACAATAATCCGCAATATTAGTTACTCTTTATGTATTCTCATGTGTTACAAAGTCGTTTTGTTCTTTATTTAAGTCGAGACACAAATTGATTGCATAAAGCCACATACCCGCTACATTATGCTAAAATGACATACAAATTGCCCACTCTTCACAGGCGTCGGCCCAGAGCGAGGACCACCCAAGCCGCAGGAGCTGCCGATGAGCCGGAAGTGGAGTTGCTACCAACTGCCAGTGAGCGATGTCAGCGACGTGGCCTTGTCTATCGCATACTGAAGTACAAGCGGAAGCAGCAATGTCCACAATTCCTGGACAGATACTGGGAGCAACAGCCAAGCTATGCAAAGCTGCAAAATGACAGGTAAGCAGAAGAAGAAGGACGAACCTTCGAACAGCATAACAGCATTATTTGTTATTGCAGTGGCCTGGCGGACATACAGCTGCAAAATCTGGATGCACACAAGCTGCTCAATGCCACAGCAACGCCCAGCAAGGAGACGGAGCTACAGAACTACACTCGCCTCACGAGCTCAAGAGCTAGCTCCTCGCTGGATTTGGAGTGGGAGCATGAGTATTCACAGCTGCGCCAGTACCAGCAGCGACAGCAAAAAGCGCTGGAGCAGGAGCGACAGCAGCAATCACAGCCACAGGACAGCCCATCCAGATTGGCGTCGTCTCAGGCACGCTATGCTTCATTGGACCAATTGACGACAGCTGCATCGCTGGCCACCAGTCAGGGACGTTATGCGACTATGCGACAGGCACGTCTGGGTGGTCAACGCTATGGTGGCTCCCTTACGCGCACCTCCTGTTGCTCGTCGACGCAGAACTCATGGTCTCACATCTCCACGCCCGAATCCCTGGAGTGGGACATTGATGCCGAACAGGAGCAGCAGCAACAGTTGCGGCAAGAGGATGACAATTTGGATGACGAGACACTCAAGCTGTTGCATCAAATCGAACAGCTCAAGCATCATGTGCTCCAGGAAACGGGCGATGGCCTCAGCTTGGGCATGGGCGTGGGCGTCGGTGTGGGCGTGGCTGTGGAGGAGCTCAGCGATGATCTTCAATTTCGTGCGTCGCACTTTGGTGCGGCAAACGGCTCTGAATTGGAGGTGCATATTAGTTGATTAGTGCAAATAACACTGTAAATATATAAATGATGTACAAGAGACCTACAAAAGACCTGTGTGTGGTATATTAATCTATACTATAATTATATGATTATTACAGCTGACAATTACAAAAAGTAACAGAAGTGATTAGGAAAGAATTTTAAGAATGCACTCTACTAAAAAAACCAACTATTTATTTTATAAGCTCGACACACTCCCGACAATATCCACTTAGCAAATGTTTAGTAGAATTTGAAGTAATCAGTTGAATTCAAAATTAAGCTTTGAAGCCCTTGCAGACATATGGCATAAACTATAATACTCCGATATCTGTGGCCCGGTTTTGATAAGGTTCTTGCAAAAATTTCAAAAACATTTCAAATAAAATTCATAATTACTGCGAGGTATATTTTCATAATAATTTTTCTCTGACTGAAAAATACTTCAAATTTCAGCCATATTTAATGGAATTGAAAGTCAAGTTTGGCTAGAAGAAAATACGGAAAGTCTGACAAGCAAGTGGAAATAAATAGCTACAGACCAATGATAAACTAATTTTAAGTTTAGAAATGCCTCCTTTAAAAATAATGTGCGATCATAAAAGTATATCTCAAAGAATCTGTAACAAAACTATTGCGCAATTTAAGTGCCTAGCAAAATACACACAAACAATTTCTTTTAACTCTGGTGCTACCGAATTAAGAAAGAAATGCCACAACAACAACAACAACAAACTTTATCCTATACAACACACACACACACATATATTTAAATGCCTTTTAAATCATATCGCTACAAAGAATTGAGAATACAGTAATTGAACTATATGGCAATTATATTATAAACCATTTCGTTATGTTTCTAGATATATATATATATATATACATACATATGTATATATGCTCAATGCAGTTGAGAATCTGATTATGATGATGATGAAGTACAGTAAATGCAAATTATATATTTTCAAAGTTTATTAGGCAAAATGCAAACAAAATACAAAGGTACGTCCTTATAGAGCGAGTATTACACATATATGTATGTAAGTAAGTATTTAGTAGGTGTTGCGGTACAACTGCGACCGACAAAAATCTTTTCGTTTTAAGTGTAAACTAAACTGATTAAAGAAACTTTTGTAGAAAAGTGTTTGCTCGTTGTTTTGATTTATGATCCATGTTTTTTGGGGCTCATTTCGGGTTTCAATGCGCTTATGTTTTTATAGCAGTTCTCGTTGCGTTTCGAGCTCTAACCGAAGATGCCGGTTATCTTATTCTTAAATTTGTCGAACGTGCTGGCTATCGTCTGCAATTGAAAGATAGAGATAAATATTTGATGATAATGCATAGAGAATATATCTAATTCGTGAAAACTTAAAATATGCATAAATATTCGATTTGTTTACTATATTAGTAAGTTTCAAATATTATATGAATATTTTAAAGTAGTTGTAAATTATATTGATTGCATGGTGCTTTCGATTTTCTATGTTAAAAAGATTAAAACAAATTAAAATAATTATTATAATTATTAAATAATCCAAAATTTTCGATACTTAAAATGTAATTGCTTATAAGCAAATCATATTTTATATTCAATGATTCTTAAAAGACATTTTCATACGGACTTAAAACTAAATCTATATTCACAAGTGTAAATACCGAAAGACCTATTTCAAAAAAAAAAAAAATCTTCTAATAATTGTAATATACAATAAATCAATTTGAATTCTACACTGAAAAATATTCAATCGCAAAATCGCAATCTTCACAAATAAGAAATTTAGCTTTATTCTATTTTCGTATTATCAGCAGGACTTAACTTACCGTTGTTTCAACTGGTTCGGCATGCTTCAGCTGTCCGTAGTTGGAGCCATGGGTCTGGGCATATCCCTGGCCATTCAGGTCCTCGACCTGCACCTGTCCGAAATCTTGTGTATCATCGAGCAGTTGTTGCTGCTGTTGGCCAGCATCGCTGTCCAATTTGTAGTTGGAATTCCAGTCGACTTCCTGTTGCTGCTGTTGTCCACCATCATTCCAGCCCAAATCCACCTGCTGCTGCTGACCCAAATCCACCTGCTCCTGCTGTCCCAGATCAGCAAGACCCGGCTCGTCGCCCGCTTCCCGGCTCCATTTGCCCAGCTTGGCACTGGCACTGGCACTGGCCGTGGAGCCACCAAGTCCGCCACTTGCTGTAGCCGAAGCGCCACTCACAGGCACATTGTATGTGTAATCTGTGCGACGATATTCGAAGCCAGCATTATTACCATTCGATGAGCCACGCTGATAGGGTAATGGCGACGGGGTAGATGCTATTGGCATGGGCAATGGCAATGGTAACTTCGTTTCACCTTCCAAACCCGGTTCCTCATCATCCGTACTGTATGTCTCATCGTATACATGGGGCGGCTGATCACCACGATCCTTGGAGAAAATGGGTTTCTGCACAGCGGTGGCATTGGTGGTGCCCGGATCAACCACATAGCCAGCATTGCCAGCGGGCAGATCGATCAAACCCTGACTCAACAGATACAAAGTGCGACGCCAGATGCTCAACTCCTCGCCAGATTTATTGTACTTTGTCTGCAACTTCTGCAGGCGCCAATGCTGTTTGTTCTCCCAGGTCAGGACTTCGGTCTCCGCTAAGAGTTTCCGATGATTCAGATAGCTCAAGTAATGTAGTTCCTCATCGCGGAACTGTTGGAGCTCAGATAGGGACATGCCATAGTATTGGGCCACATCCATAATTCGTTGGAATTCCTTCAGCTGCCACGATTTCAGCTCATGCAAACTGATACCATATTGTTGGGCAAATCTCTGCAGTTTCTCCTCATCCTGTCGCTGCCAGTCGCGAAGTTGTCGCAACGTCATTTTCTGTGTACCAATAAAATCGTATAAGCGATCACGTTCCTTTTCCTGCCACTTGGTGAGCACGTTGAGTCGTCGCTGCTCCAACTGATGCCGTGTGGACATGCCGGTCACAGAGATCCGTTGCCATGGCGCCAATTGATTCAAGCCAACGCCATAGAGACGCGCCAGTTCCATTTGATACTTTTCGTCATGTTCGATGAGCTCGAGTAGCTCCCTCTCCGTAATGATGACACTGGAGCCAATCTGTTGCAGACGTTGCAGTTCCTGGTCCTGCCATTTGATGCCCACCACCTGGCTATCCACAATCAGTCCCATATCAGCAAAGCGCTGCAGTTTCTCCCGGATAAACATACGCAGCTCCTCAGTGCTGATCTGATACTGTGGCGCTAGATAATTAACATTAATCATTAGCAGTTTCTCCAGTTCAGTCCGATTGATCGGATTACGCAAAACGGTCTGATAGATACGTTCCGTTTCCTTGGTCTGCCACGGCAATCCAAAGTCACTCTTAATTTTACGCTCATCCAGCAGACGTTTGAGTTCGTTTTTATACCATAGTTTGAGTTCCTCAATTCTAATCTGATATTGACGCATCAAGTCCTGTATGTGTTTTTGATCATTGATCAACTTCAACTGCAGCTCCTCAATGCTCCATTGTTGGCCACGACGAAGCTGTTGATTGATTAGATCTTGGATATATTGTTGCTCCTGAAGCTGCCATTTCGTCAGGGTGTGAGAGCCAGTGATGAGTCCCTCATTGGCCAGCTGCCTTGCGGATTGATCCAGCCACAGATGAATGTCCTCGATGGTAATGTGATATTGTTGCGCCAATCGCTCAAAGTTCGGCCGATGTCTCTCCACATACAGCTTATACTCCTGCCACGACATGGGCTTCACAAAAGCCTCGCTGCGCAGACCGGCGGTCAAGTATTCCCTCCACGGCTGCGACTCACCAATGTTGATCGTTTCCTCATATCTGAAGTTATCCAGCGGCTTCTCGATGACACCAATTAGCGATAGTCTGGCCGTCTCCTTTTGCACCCACTGTTCGACTTGGTCCACAGTCACATGATAGTCCCTGGCAATGCCATTGAGACGAGCCTTGTCACGTTTCAGGAAGTCCACAAATTGTTGATAGGTCGTTGAGTCCTGTTGCTGTTTCAGCCAATTATCAATGCCATGGCTAATTTGTTTTTGCCATTGCGTCTGCTGCTCGAATTGCACCAATCCCGATTGCTGCAATCGCTGCAGTTCATCGCGCAGCCAATTGTCCACCTGATCGATGCTCACGTGATTCGTTTGCGATAGACTCTGCAGGCGAGCATGATCCTTGCGCAGCTCATTCTCCACACCCTCATAGTTGAGATCCTTCTGATGCTTCAACAGCAACTCAATTAAGCGCTCCTGTTCCGCGATCTGCCATTTGGTTAGATTCTCCACTTTGGCATTGCCAGTGGTCCTTAGATTAATCAATTGCTGTCGCAGCCATTGCTCGATCTCCTCAACATTCACCGAGTACTGATTGCCCAGCTTTTGTAGGCGATCCCGCTCCTTTTGCAGCTCCATTTCGAACTCCACGTAGCTGATGTGCGTTTGTTCTTTAACCAGATTCTGCAGACGCGCCAGCTCGGACACCTGCCAGGCACTGAGCGTTTTCAGAGAGTTCTCCGTATTGCCCCGCAAGCGCTTCAGCTCCGATATCATCCATGTCTCAATTTGCTCCACATTAAGGCGATACTGGGCGGCCAGCTGATTCAAATGTGCCCGATCCGCCAGCAATTTCTGCTCATATTCGGCCGTGGACAATCCATTCTTATATTCAGCTATCATGGTCTTGATATAATCGCGTTCCACCAGTTGCCACGTTTGCAGCTGCTCAATCTCAAATTGTCCCTTCTTGGCCAGATCCTCAATAACCTGTTTGATGTACGTCTCAATTTCTACGATGCTCACATGATGTTGATCCGCCAATCTCTGCAGGAAACTGCGATCGTTTTGTACCTGTGAATGGGAGATCAATTCGTAATCATTTCAGATATCTATTCTTTTTTTTAGAACTTTATATTCAGTTTATATATTTATATTTGGATTTTGAGATATATATTGCTCAGACATACGCACCTTGGTCACGAACTGTTCCATTGTAATGTTAGATTGTGATTGAAGGAGCAACAAAATACGCTGCTGCTCAGCCTGCTGCCAAGCGGTGAGCTGCTCAATGTTGAGTTTGCCCTGCTGCTGGAGTCGATCGATCTCCGATTGGACCCAACGTTCGATTTCCTCCACGGAGGTGTGGTACTGGAAGGCCATTGTCTGCATGTGCTCACGATCCTTGCGCAGCTCAGCTTGAAGATCCTCGGCGCTCCACTGTTTGTTCTGTTTGATCAATGCTTCGAGGCGTTCGCGTTCCGCCAGCTGCCAGCTGGTTAGATTATCGATCTGGAGCTGACCCTCGTCACGCATACGGGCGAGTTCCTGTTTCATCCAGCTCTCGATCTCCTCAACCTGAACGCTGTATTGGCGTGCCAGTTTCTCGAGCAGCTCACGATCCTGACGCAGACGCGCCTCCAATTGCTCCGTTGATTTGTATTGCTGCTGGGCGAGATTCTTGAGATGCAGGCGCTCCACTTCCTGCCAGTTGGTTAGCTTCTCGCTGGGCTTGAGCAGACCCATGCCAATGAAACGTTGCTCCTCCTTCTTGACAAACTGTTCAATCTCCTCGATCTGAACGTTATGTTGCATTGCCAGACTCTGGAGGCGTGCGCGATCCTCAAGCAGCCACTTGTGGAACTCCTCGACGGTGTAGTCTCGCTCCTGCACCATATTGGTTAGATTGCCGCGCCATTCCTGCTGCCAGTCTTGCAAACGCTGCATCTCGATGAGGCCTTCGCTTTGGAGCTTTTTGATTTGTTGCTGGATCCACTGTTCGATCTCCTCGACGCGCACCTGATTCTGCTGGGCGAGGCTATACAGATGCGTCTGATCCTTGGTAATCTTTGTCTCCAGCTCCTCAATGGATAGATCGTTCTTGTTGATCAGATTGAGCAGGCGCTGTCGTTCAATCTTCTGCCAATTGTTCAACTGTGCCTCCATATGCAGTTGTCCCTCACGCTGCAGTCGCTCCCCTTCCGACTGAATCCAGTGCTCGATCTCGGACACTTGAACATTGTAGGTCTTCGATAGCTCATTGAGACGAGCACGATCAGCGAGCAGTTTCCGCTCGAACTCTTCTGTGGAATATTTGTTCTGTTGCACCAACTTGGAGATTTGTAGACGTTCCGCTTGTTGCCAATCCTTGAGTGCTTCCGCCTTGAGGAGACCCTCGCTCTGCAGACGCATTAGCTCCTTCTTGAGCCATTCCTGTATATCCTCGACACGTACCTGATACGTATTGGCCAAGTCAAAGAAGTGCGATTGATCCTGCTTAATCTTCGCCTCCAGTTGCTCCACGGTGAAGGAATTGTGCTGCACCAGAGTCTGAAGTCGCTCGCGTTCCCGTTGCTGCCACGAGGCCAACTCTTGTTTCACATCCTTGAGCAGACCCTCTGATTTGAATTTCTGGAGTTCACTCTTAATCCACATTTCAATCTCCTCCACGCGCACTTTGTAGGTGTGTGCAAATTGCTCGAGGCGTGCCCGATCATTGATAATGGAGCTTTGGAACTCCTCAATGGTTAATTGATTTTGCCCGATAATATTGCGCAATCCGGCACTGACTTGCACCTGCCAATCCTTGATGTGACTCTCCATCTGCTGTTGTCCAACCATCTGCAAACGATGCAGCTCATCCCGCTGCCACCTCTCCAGCTCATCGACTCCAACACGATATTTGGCAGCCAGATTCTGCACATAGCTGCGATCCTGAGCTATTTGCTGTTGCAACTCACTCAGACTGCCACGATGCTGTTTGAGCATCGTTTCCAAGCGGGTGCGCTCCGAACTCTGCCAGGCACTAATCTGCTTCACCTGCTCGTTCTGCTCCTTGATGAGATCACCAATGCGTGCCACTTCACTTCGCAGCCACTGTGTCTGACTCTGTCTATCGCCCTGATATTTCAAGGACAAATCCTTCAAGCGTTGCTGATCCGACAGTATCGCGTTCTGGAGCTGTGCAATTGTCGCATTGTGCTGGCGAATGAGCTCTTCCATACGCTGCTGCTCCTGGGCGTTGTCCACAACCAGTGAGCTGGAGTCGTGAATGGTCACCTGAGGGACTTGGATTACGTGTGAGGCGAGTGAATCATTGATGTGATTATAGTGGGTATGGAGACGCTGTACTTCCTGGCGCTGCCATTGCTGTAGTTGGTCCTGCGATATGCCGTTCCTTTGGGCCACCATGCGCAACTTTGCGTTATTCTCCTGCTGCCAACGCTCAAATTCCTGCGAGCTCAAACTATTCTGATGGATGAGCCAATCGAGACGACCACGCTCCTGCCGCTGCCATGCGGTCGCATCCTGCACCTGGGCCTGATACTGACCCAACAGTGCCTGATAGCGTGCAAGCTCCCTGCGATGGAACTCCTGCAGTATGGGCAATGTGGTGTGATAACGTTGTGCAACGGCCAGCAGACGATCCTCATGCTGAAGCTGCCAATCCTCTAGACGCTGTGGCGTCGTTAGATACCAAAAGAAATGCTCACGCTCCTCGCGCTTCCATTGATCGTCCCCGGAAACGGAGGTTTGGCCAAACGGTTGCCTGCTATTGTAGACCAGTTTACCATCCTGCCAGCGCTGCTGCGACTCACTACCATCTACGGAGCTGGTGCCATCGGCATGTGTTGTTATGGTCTTATTGAATCGTCGAACTGTCACTGTGGAAAGAGGTCCACCCATCTGACTGAAAGAGGGCATCTCAAGCGGTTGGCTTGCGTATGTGGGAACGGGAGCACCGCCTCTGGTATCACCGATGCTAACCACTGATCTGTAATTGACCACTGTTGGCTCCAAACGCTGTCCAATATAATCCTGTAACGAGGACTGTCGATTAACGTTTGTGCTCGAAATGCTCGAACTGGGCGCAAAGTAGCCCTGATTCAATTGAGCTGCGGTATTGCTGCCAAAGGTAGAGGACAGTTTTGTGGCCTCGGTGCAATTGCGATGCACCACATAGGTCTTGCCATCGATGACTTTCACCTCAGCGGGATACGCATAATTCTTCACCTCATCGAAGCCGCTCAAATCGACCGGTTGAAATGGATTCAAATCCACAGTTTGCTGCTGAACGCCGCCCATGGCGTATTTCTCCAGCACCTCTCCCGCCTTGGCATCGAAAAATCCTGCCTGAGCGATCTGGCTGTAGCTCATTAGCTCCTGTCGCATATCATTAACCAGCTGCTGGCTGATCTGCTTACACAAAGCATCCAGTTCGCTGGCACTCTTCCCAGTCAGCTGCAATATGTTGTCTTGTCAAAAAAAGATGAAAAAAGGCAATATGAATAAGAGTTCAAAGAGTTAATAAATTATCTTCCTTAATTTGCTAAGTTATATATGATGAAAACTTAAAATTATAAATTTATGTTCATTTAAATAGAAGTCTTAGCAGCTGATATAACTGAGACTTTCACTTTAATCATCTTCCTCTCGCTCTCTCTCTCTCTCTATCCTTCTCTGACTCTCTTGCAATATTTGCTTCCCCAACTCTCTCTCTCTCTCTCTCTCTCTCTTCCTTACTCTGAGCCTCTTACACTTTTCCGCAGATATTTCTCGGCTATCTCTCTCCTTTTACTCCGAATCTCTCGCGCTGTCTATTCAGCCTCTCTCTCTCTCTCTCTCTCTGTCTGTTTGCCTATTTCCCTCTCTCCCCTTATCTCTTTTGTTCTCACAGTCTGTCTCATCTCTCGCTCTTTCTTCCAATCTTTCTTTCTCTCTCTCTCTCTCTCTCTCTCTCTCTCTATTTTTCTCTCGCCGTCTCACTCGCTCTCTCCATTCCCGTTCTTCTACCTTTCGCACACTCTCTATTTTTCTATCTCTCCTTTCCTCCGTTTCCGTAAATGTTTAATTACACTTCACAAATTAAAATATAATTTTCAATAACTATGTCACTTCATATTTCGACATCAAAAGTTATCTCTAAAAGTCATGTTGAAGTATGCCTCTTGTCCAGCTGATTAGTTAATCACCATGTATTAATAACTCAATCTCCAAGTGGACCGATTAAGGTACAAATCTGACCTTAGATATGGATGGGGCGCACCAAAAAAAATATAATGATCTCGCGGACCTTTTTTTTGGTGTTGCCGTATTAAAAAGTCACCAACCTAAAAATTGATAATAAAATTGTTTCAATGCTCTAAGCAATACATAAGTGTCTAACAATTCCAAATTAAATTAAAGCCTGAACTTTATTTTATTTCGAAATCACGCAAATTTATATTAATAAATTGTTAAAACCGTAACAAAAATGTTTGAATTTATATATATTTTAATAATATTTGTTATGCAAAATTGAGAAAACCTATTTAATATACGTATGTGTTGTGAATAGCAACATATTTGTTCAATTAAGTGTTAAAACATCAAAACTGGCTTAAATATGATGAATCTATAATCAAATTTCATTAAATCAATTTCTTAGCAACATTTTTTGTTGTTCATTTCATATACCATATAGAACTACCATAGACTTTATACCAATTATACTTAACGGTCAGTGCTAGAATTCTTTTTTTGCATTTTGATAAATATTACATTTTATTAAAAGGTAGACTCATATGTGCGTTTGTGGTTCACATCTCTCTGATTGTATATATTGCAAGGGCATAACTGATAATCAGTTGCGATCTTTAGCCATGACTTACCACTCCATTTCAAGGCATATCCCATATTGCCGCTGCCGCCTGTGGACATTGAGTTGAATTCATTCGTGAGTCGTATGGCAAATTCGCGCACCTCCCTCAAATGGCTATATGCCCAGCTGGTCAGCTGGGATGGCATTTGCAATTGCATCGATTGCGATTGTCCGTTGCCGCCTCCAAACGATGATGACGAACTGGAACTGTAGCTGGTTCTGAAGCTGTTATAGCCCTGGCAGCTACAGATTGCCAAGAGCAACGCACAAGCGCCTACAGCTCTCATTCTGAGCAAACTAGATCAGAAAGAAAAACGATGTCATTCATAAATATTAAATGCATTGAGTACTATTTGTGCTTATATAACGTCGTTGTAGGCTAATAAGCTCGCCTCAAATTGAAAAGATTTTTGGTGCTTCTTTATGTTATGGATGATAAGCGCTTGAAAATGAAATCTAGTTCAGTCTATAGCAGGGGATTATCAGCCCACTGAGGGCCAACAGAGGTTAACCAGGCGATAATGCTCATATTACTTAGCATACAATTTGTTGTTAAAGTTATTTTTTTCATTTTTTCATTATTATTATTTTTTGTCACCAAGCTGGATGCCATCATTCATCCGGTGTCTTTGTTGAAAGGTCTTAAAATGTCTGCGTCGTAATTTTCAAATCGAATTTTTGAATTAATTGTGTGTGCACAATATGTGTTTCTTCAGCAGCATTGGCCCATAAATCAACGCTGTCGATGTATAAACAAATGCTTCCATTTGGGTCACATTTGCCTATGCGCGTCCCGAACTCAATTTTATTTCTGGCTTGAGTGCAGGCGCTGATTATTTTTAGATGCTGTTCGCAGCACAATAAACGAATATAACTGCAATTTTAATATAAACTCGCACATACATATGCATATGTTTATGTATATGTATATGTCTCTTACTCACTCTCACTTGCGTTCCCACTGCGAGCACTATAATTGCTCTCAATTATTGTTTTTGGAGATCAACACACACGCACATACACACACACGATTACAATTCGCAGGATCAGCCAGCACTTATATTCACTTTCACAATTTCACCGATTTCACTGTGGATTTTCACGACGATTCAAGTACCGTTGCGCTGCGATGCGCTGCCGAACAGCAACTGACAGTGGAGCGCATGGCGTAAAGCTTTTATTAGAAAAAAGTGTGCGTTGAGAAGAGAATCTTCTCAAAGAGCGCAATGCCGTTATCAATTCAAGAGATGTCTATTGGGAAAACAACGAAAATATTACTAATTATAAACGTAAGATCATATTTGGTGGACGTCATAGTTCAACGACAAAAAACCGGTATTGGGATTCTTCTAATGAGCTCATATATTTGGCTCATATAGGTGAATCACAAGCCGGTAGCCGTCTGACCGATTTGATTTTGTTTACACCCAATGACAATAGATCAAAAAAATATATTTATTGCGAATTCATTCAAGTATATGATCTCATATAAGCTCATGAGTTGTTTGGAGAACACATTCGCTTGCATTTCTGTCTGTCTGTCTGTGCTGAGTGTCGAGGAGGGAGGCACGTCATTTGCGTGGGCATCGGTATTTAAAAAGTGATTCAAAACAATTAAGATGAAAACACTTGCAACAATGCAAATTTGACTGGCCTTACAGAACTAGAAAATTTGGTCACTTTAAACGAATTTTTTGAAAGCACAACAAACCACAAAGGGGAAAACCACACAGATCTGACCACAGATTTCGCATCCTGTTGATATTTAAATTTCAATTTAGAACACGTTCTCTTTATTAGCAAACACAAAGTTATACACAATAGGCCAAAAGTCACAAGAAAATAATCTAAAATGTAATCAAAAATAATTTTAAACACCAAATAATTCTCACAAGTCACAAAATATATGTTTGGCAATAAAAAATATGTGTTAGAGCGAGACAAACTCAGAAGACAATTACAAAATGACACAAATAATTAAATGCGGAATTAGTCATTAACGATTTTAATTCTTAGAACTAAATTGGTAATTAAATTAATGGATCTTAAATTTTATGAATGACAGCCAGTATTCTTGGCATAAACGAGGTACGAGGTGACTAACTAAAGATCTGTTAGCGCCATCTAGTGTCCTTGCGCAAAGCGCAACCTAGTGGCAAAACTAAAACTCTATTAGCGCCATCTAGTGACATCCCAAAAACGAATCAAAACATAGTTGGACTGTTGATGCGATATATTTCATGAAAATTGGTTTTATATATAAATGTATACATATAAATAAGCAAACATTGCAGCAAATATCATCATTGAGAATCATATTAAAATATACTTTTTAATTGATCAAGGAGTTTTTGTTTAGACAATTACAGCTCGTGCCTTTTCATCGTGCATGCTCTGCGAGTCACATATCGCGCACGCGACCATCTCTAGCATATGCCATGGTATTAAATAAATACGTGGTTGATTTGTTTGATAAATCTGACTAAAATGTATCAGCTGTGCAAATCTAATGTGAAACAGAAACAGGCCCATAACTAACATAAAAGGCCCAAAATAAAAAGGTACGTGGCACGAGATACACAACCAATAATAACGGAATAAAGAATGTACAATTCTCAGTTATAGGCTATGGAAACGGGCAAGGTGACTCAGGAACCAAAACAGATGAAGTTCACATATCGTTTCGCCTTTTTCTTCATAGCTGGCAGCTTGGCAACATTTGTCTTCCATGCGCTGACGTCGTCGTCGTCGGTGTCTCTGTTTGGATGGAGGCTGCAGCTGCGTCAGTTGCATCATCTGCCCACTGCCCACTATTTGCAGACGCGCGACGAGTTTGCCGTTTATTCGGTGGATGAGTTAAATGCATTTAAGGAGTTCTATGACAAAAGTGTCAGCGATAGCGTTGGTGCCAGCTATACCGAGGCGGAGCAGACGAACATTAAGGAGGCATTGGGTGCCATGCGTCTCGCCCTGGACATGCATATATCTGGCAAGGATGACAAGGCAGCACGGCTGTTTGAGCACGCTCTGGCCCTAGCGCCCAAACATCCGGAGGTGCTACTCCGTTACGGTGAATTTCTCGAGCATAATCAGCGTAATATTGTGCTGGCGGATCAGTACTATTTCCAAGCCCTCAGCATCAGTCCCAGCAATTCGGAAGCATTCGCCAATCGCCAGCGTACTGCGAATGTTGTCCAGACACTGGACGAACGTCGTCTGGTATCGCTGGATGAGAAACGGGATGCCCTGTCTGCCATCCATGAGGCGAACGCTGCACTGCGTCGTGCCAAGAAAGAAGCCTACTTTCAGCACATCTACCATTCGGTGGGCATTGAGGGCAATACTATGACGCTGGCACAGACACGCTCCGTGCTGGAAACCCGTATGGCCGTCGATGGCAAGTCGATAGATGAGCACAACGAAATTCTCGGCATGGACTTGGCCATGAAGTACATTAATGCCAGTCTTGTGCAAAAGTAAGTAATGCCTCAAGCCTCTGTTATGCGTTGCAGCTAAACTTAAAAACAACGTTCTGTTATAGGTTAGAAATCACACTGAAGGATATTTTAGAGCTGCATCGCCGCGTGCTGGGCCACGTGGATCCCATAGAAGGTGGTGAGTTTCGACGCACTCAGGTATATGTGGGCGGTCATGTGCCGCCAGGCCCCGGAGATTTGGCCCTGTTAATGCAACGTTTCGAGCACTGGCTAAACTCCGAGCAAAGCAACTCCCTGCATCCGGTCAAGTGAGTTCACACAATGCTTACCCAAGTTAATCTCGAGTAGCACTCAAGTTTTTGTTCTACCCTACACAGCTATGCGGCTCTTGCTCATTATAAACTGGTGCATATCCATCCATTCATTGATGGCAACGGTCGGACTTCGCGTCTGCTGATGAACACGCTCCTTATGCGAGCTGGTTATCCGCCAGTTATTATACCCAAACAGCAGCGCAGTCAGTACTATCATTTCCTTAAGCTGGCCAATGAGGGCGACATTAGGCCCTTTGTGCGTTTCATTGCCGATTGCACGGAGAAGACACTGGACTTGTATTTGTGGGCTACCAGCGACCTTCCCCAGCAAATTCCAATGCTCATCCAAACGGAAAGCGAAGGTGGCGTATTGGCCCAGCTGCAGTCGCACATTGCGCAAAGCGCCCCAGAGCCATATGAGTCGGGTTCAGGATTGGATTCAGGTGTCAATGGGATGCCCTGACCCCCAATGCATAAAATAGCCCAATGGTTGCTCAACTTTATTAGCAAATTGTATGTTGTATATTGTGTGGTTTAGCGGCAATTTTGTGTATATTTGTAATTTATGTATTTATCAAGAAAATCGTTTGTCAGACTGTGATCGTATTTAAGCTAAAAGATTTAACCAAATATAATAACAAAATGCTTTAATAGAGAGCATAATAATAACTAACGCACAAAACACTGTATAAGCCAGTAAACGTTAACGAATAATCGGTGCGTAGTAAATATATTTTGACCAGAACTATCAGTAGGCGTATTCCTAAGAAAAATCAGATAAGTTATCAGTGATGGGCGTATATCAGCTCAATATTCCTAAGAGAAACCGGATAAGTTATCAGAGATGGGCGTATAACATCTCAATATTTCAGCCGATAACATTATTAAGCCAGTAAAGGGGATCATAGTTGAATCGGCTGGTGAAATCGTGTATCAATAAAGATTTCACTTTGAATGCGCATAACATGTAAATACAATACAAAAATCCATCTGTACAAAATAAAAGCTCAAAACAAAATCACATGTGACTAGAAAAAGTTTGCATTTACATTCTTTTCGTAGGTGTAATCTGCAAATCTCAGAACAGGAAGGTATTAAGTATAAAATCAACGAGAATATTACACAGCCTTGTTATTTTTGATTTCGTTATTTATTCAATTTGTTTAGTGCAGTCTTAAATTGAACCTTTAAGCAAAGTTGTAAATAAAATTTGCAATTGCTAAAAGGGCAAATAGCAACGTCAACAAGATAAGTTTATTGCAAACCTTGATGTATTGAAGTGTAAACTATAATTAGCACTATTGCTCATTTTTATATGTACATGAACATACATAGTATATCACGAAGCTTTAAAGTACAAGACTGTTTCAAATAATAGTGACATTCATGACAAAGGCACTCATAAAACTTAAAATACTAATAAGAGAATAATAAAATGTGATATTTTTTGTTTAAGTTTGATTTTTGTGAATCTTACAACTTGCCGCGTTGTAAATAATTCTTGTAAGTAACATCACGCCACCAGGCTGGACGCTCGTGTACACCGGGCGTGGACACAATGGCGCGCTGCAAGTGCTGATAAACCTGTCGAGTGCAGCAAATGTTTAGTCATAATATTTTTGATAAATGCTTAAATAACAGTTACTCACATTGCCATCACTCATGCCCAGCGGCGAGTTCAAAACGAAATCGGTGGGTGCAATTGCATCCACCAAGGCAATGGCTTCATTCTTCAGCACTGACAATAGCTCCAATATGCCACGCTGATACAGTTCAATGTGCGAACTATTGCGGAAATAGCCTCCTTGATAGAATATAGCTGAGTATTTGGTAACCAAATTGGCGCCATAGAATGACAGCACCTGAAGCAACACCTTCTGCTCGGGCGAGGCGGGCAGACCGGTCACAAACTTATAAAACACATAGTAAATGGTGCGCTGTGAAAATCAAAAAGTCAAAATCACTTTTAGCACACATAAATTATGCATTAGATTTGTAGAATAATTCCCACCTCTGCATAGATAATGGATAGCTTTTGTGCCGCAAACACTTGAATATTGTTGCGTGTCTCGAATGCATCTTTGCCGTCAAATTGCAGCTTCTCGAACCGTTTAACTGTTTCATCCAGTTGCCAGGCGGTCAGCCAGTTCAGCGCCTTAAGCAAATCTGTAATATGCAAAGTCTCCATTAGTATATATGTCTTCGTTACAATGAATTTATAATAATCACGCACTATTCACATCGAGAGCCTGAGCTGGGGTACGCTCCTGTCCCTGGATCTGCAGTATTACATTCATATCACTCAGGAACGAGACTGTCTCCAACGGCGACACGTCTACAAAATTGGTATTGCTGCGACGCAAGCTGATCAGCCAATTGGATGCCTGCTGAATGAGTGTGTTATTTTCACCCTCATAAGTGCAATTGGCATCATTGTCATTTCTCAGATCGCCCAAGCCCGTTGCCCGCAGATAGCCATGACCGCCGCAGGCTTCACGGCTCTCCTGGATGCCATCGCGTGCTGCCCAGGTGGCGCATGGCTTGAGTGCCGATGAAATTGCATGTATTTCCATGCCCTCCTTGGACGTATCCTCGCCCATCATACCCCTGATGGTCAGATCCACATTGATCTTGCAGATCCAGAGCGTGGCCACGCGCAATGCTATCGTGGTAGCCAGATGTGGCAAAATGCGATATTGCTGCGACTGATACTCAAGCACGGGCCACTCCACCTTACTATCGTTCGGGCCAAACTGCCGACGGCTGGCCGAGTAGCGTGTGGCAATGCAAATTGCCTTGCTCAGCGATACATATGCCAAAAATGTGATATTGACACGTCCCGTTGATAGAGCGCCCAGAGAGGCTCCCAATCGCTTACGACTATCCTTGATGGGGCTGCTGTAATTGCCCTGGGCATCAATGTCGCCTGTCTTTGACAGTAAATTGTCCTTAGGTATGCGATACTGATTGAACATTACAAATCTGCAAAAAAATTCAAATTGTTTATATTAATATATAAAATATTCAGCACAGCTTCATTAAGCAACAAGTTAAGTTAAGTTACCAAGAGTTTACAAATTATGTTTGATGATTAAAAACAAATAATTCTAATTTTAATTTAAATTTATGATGTTTGCCTCGCATTATTTTTCTGGTTGAAATTTTAGTTTTGTGTGCATTTAGTTATGCTTGAAATATAACCATTCGAATTATTGTTCTTATTACCCATTGTCAATGCCATTGAGGCCAATTTTTTCGCCTAAGTCGCCAACGGTGACGCCAGGCAATGGCAGCAGCGTGCGCTCATCGCGAATGGGCACCAGGAATGCATTCAAGCCCTGATGCTTCTCATCCGGCACATACAGCTGTGCATAGACAATCGCATGGGTGCAAGTCTTGCCCAGATTACCAACCCAGCACTTCGCTGCCTCAAAGTCCGGTGTGTGCAAAATGAACTCCTTTGTCTTGACATCATATGTGGCGCGTGTGCGCATGCCTTTTCAATGAAATATATGGAATTGATTGAATTTGTCAAAAATAATATATAAATGCATTTGTTCGAACCATTTGCATTCGTTCCATGAGAGACCTCGGTCAGAGCATAAGCGCCCAGAATGCGATCATTGGCTATCTTCGCCACATATTTGCCTAGACGGCCAGTGCCATTGGACACCAAGGTGCTAGGAAACATGCCATTAGAGAGCACGAATTTGACTGACATGCTGAAGTCATAGCTGAAGATTGCTTGGCCAAATGCCAACATCAAATGCGGCGTCGTTAGATACTGCATTAAAAAATATACAAAGTCAGAATTAATTACTGCATACAAACACAGATTGCATTGCATTAAAGTCAACCTCATCGACGCCGAAGAACCTTTGCTCCCAAATTAAATGATGCCGCTTGTTGGCCAGCTCCCTTGTACGCTCCAGGCTGGGCGCTTCCGGTTCCCGCTGAAAGTCGGGATGTTCTTCCATCCACTGCCAAACTTTGTGCTGTTTATTTTTGGAGAGCAAAACTTTGATTAGTCAGCGATTAGATAAGGTAACTAGTAACAGATAAACTTTATTATTCTGTGAAGTATTTGAACCATTGAACACAATTTCAGATAGGCTAACTCGTAATCATTGAAGGAAATTGCTTACAGTGAAAACTGATTATTCTCTATGTAGTTGTGCATATTAAGCTAAAACTAAGTCGATTGGATCAAAATTGAACTTTTACCCATGTTCATTAAGCAAAATAATAAAGATAAATACACAACATTTTTCCACCGCTTGCGATCAGTTTACAAAATAGCTACGTGTACTTATAAAGATAGTGTAATTAAGATCAATAAAGCAAGATGACAAGATGATTTTTTCAAACACTACTGATCTAGAAAAAAATTATGTGATTAACAGGTTTTTGACGTCTCGAGTTGTTTCTATAAAAATTGAACTTTGCACCACGCTTGCATGTATTTTTAATTATATACATTTAAGTATATATAAATATATTAATGTGGTCAATGACATCGACAGTAAATCTAACCTTTAGACGAATGTGCTCCTCGCCCTCCAGCAGAACATTCATGCGCTTGTAACAGAAGCTCGCCTTTTCGCGATACTCTGCCAAAGGACCGCCGCGAAAGGCTGGAAATATCTTCGTGTCCTCGTATATGTTCTTCGGCTCGACATCCTGCCTACCCCTGTAATAATCCGTTATAGATTGGAGTAAGTCACTCAAGTGATTTGCGTTCGCATCGCTATCGCTGCGTTCATTGACCATCGTCAGTCACGTAGACAACAAATACTGCACGACGCCAGCAGCAACAATTATATGAATGAAAGTGTATTCACTTACTTGGCACTTTGAAATGCAACCATGTTCGCTGCTTGAGCCATTTGCTTGCGAATAATTTAGCTGTGTGTTAACGGTCAGCGCTACGTTTAAACTGTTTTCAAACTTTGCAAATCTACGCCTTTTACAATAGTTTCGCGGCGCAGGTGCTTATCCGTTTTTTATGGTCATTAAGCCAAAATAGAATTCGCATTGACTGAATCGAGTACACAAGGCGCGGGCTGTTCACTCAGCCATTACTGATAAGCGGCATGATAAGAAATTTGTGTTGAACAGTTTTTACATGCTAGTAAATGATAAGTATTTTATGTACTATTACTCAATTTTAACTTGTTTGCTATCAATCAAAAGCCAGTAATAAACACAAGTGCCGCCAGCTGATAGGTGTAGTGCTCTAAAGCGAGCAAGTCTGACGTTCTGCAACGGTCACACTGCAAATCAAATTTGAAATTACAGCGCGGGATTTCAACTAATGTGGCGCCCGTGTTTAAATTATAATATAAAATATAAACCGGATTATCCCAACAAAAATCATAGACGAAATCATTAATGAATATTGACAAACACATGTACTTGCATTTTTATTTTATCTTATACAATTAGGTAACATGCACTGCATTTGCTTGGCTATTTAAATAAAATTGTATTTTCTGTTTGTATTATTGGTTATGATTATCATTATCATGAGCTTAACTTTAAATATTTATCTCTAAAATTTGCAGCATTAATTTCGATTTCTAAACGGCATTTTGCTTAGATGTTGTTCCAAACGTTTTTTGTGTGTAAGTGTTTACATTATGTGTTTTGAAATCATTGCAATAGGCTAAAAGGATTTAATCGTTTGATTTTTAGACCCAGAATTAAACTAATTAGGTAACATGTAGTCATTGATTAGTCATACATAATGTAAATTTCTAAATATTTGATTTCTAGTGTCTAAAGCGCACAAAATGTCGTGGCATAATTTCGTTACGTTCATTGCTACTCTTATAAAAAGCCATATAAAATGATCTGCGCTACTAATATTACGTTGTATATACTTATGTATGTATGTTTCTATGTCTGTTTCCTTGGATGTCTGTATGTATTTATGTGTGTATGTATGTATGTATGTGCAAAAGCTAATACTTGCTGAAATGGACTAATTGACGCTTTTTGAAATTAATGTGAGAATTGCGTGATATTTGAATTTGTTTGATACAACCGTGTGTATTTGTAAAAGTCCTAATTCACAAATTTCATTTTTGGCTTAATGTTGTTACAAATTTATATATGTATATATATATATATATATATATATATATATATATATATATTGATATGCTATAAATAAACCGATAATTCGACAAAAGTAAACGGCAAAATTGTGCTAAACAAAATAAAATTAAAATCGAACTATACTTTTTACTAAACGAGATTGCAAATAACGAGCTTAAAGAAATATATCCGGTGTATCGAATAGATTCAAGCTCTTCTCCATGAGTGTGCCCGACAGCAAATCCAACCCAACCTGATCCATATCCACGCCGTGTGCGCAGGGCGACGTTGTGGCCTGCCTCTCAACGTCGCTCTGCTTATTCGACTCATATCATCGACTCTGGCAGGAGCTGGCCGCCGATGAGTTCGATGAGAAGGCCGACTGTAGGCTGGTCATCGAGCCCTTGTAGTTAACCGAGCTGAGCACTTCGTAGAAGATATTTAAATGCGCACCCGAAGGACTGAACCAGTGCATTAAATAGCTGTCGTTGTGATGCATAACATGCGAGCCCTGAACACTCTCCTTGTGTCGGCAAATGAGCGTTGGTTCCTCTCTGAAGTAATTGGCGCCCTCCACAAAGTCCTGCAGATCAAAATAGGAAACAGCCGCATCTGCGATTGGAAATTGTTAAGCTTTAATGATGAACAGTGAAATGTATTCATTTACGCACCACTTTTCTCGGGCAGATCTTCGGTGAAGCGATAGAGCGTAAAATGCATATCATTGCGCATAACATCAAAGTCCCAGGTGAGCACACTCTTTGGATCCGTATTGCGTATGAGGAGCTCGTGTGTAAAACCAGGCTTTAGCTCAATGGTCTTGTAGAGATTCTTATGATTATGCTGATGTGCAGCAGACAATCGCTTGCCCTCGTTGCTCGCATCGACAACGCTGGCGGAGGCAGCACGTGACGCAACGGGCGTCTCATCATCATGATCCTCCAGTGAGTTCATCTTATACAGTGATTTGGGCACAAGGCCTCCTTCGTGTATCATGGTCTGTGGTGGAAAGAAGGCACAACATTTAGTAACAATCATTAAGTGATTGGCATTTGCTATGCTAAGCTTTTTTTAATTGTTGTTTTCAAGGTACAAAGTGTGTGTGTGTGTGTGTAGGGGGGGGGTGTGTATGTGTACACAGTTGAAGGACCACACGGACAATGGGCACAATGAAGAGCGTACGCAGCGCAGCAGCAAAACGCATATATATATATATATATATAAATATATATATTTAAATATGTATGGACTTGACATAGTTCGCAACACAAAGGCATAGGACAGAATAACAATGTGAACAATTAGAAAAACAAAAATCATAATTAACGGCACAAAGTGATTTTGTTGTCTTAGGAGAGTTTCGAAAGCTGCTTACACAATCGCATTCAGCTAAATAACAATGCGTTAGGTATCTATGATTGACTTGTTCCACATGCGTTAAATGCGTCTAAGGAGCGCCCAAACAGTTGAAAACAGAATTGGATAAACAAAGTAACGAAAATAACAATCAAATATTATATTGTATGTATCTCTAAATAGTGGTCGCTCATCAATTAGAAATGGCCATGATAATTTTGAAGAACATTGATAAAAACTACTTGAATAATTATATGAATTATACATGAGTTATAATCAGTTTTGGAATCGATGCATTTTGACTTGCGAGCGACCACTGCATCAATATATATACAAGAAATAAATGAAAATTTTGAGACAGTTCTTGAGATTTACAATGATTCCCCACCACCAAAATGTACCTTGCATGGGCCACCAAGAAAATCTGGCACAATTTCCTCATCAATGTACTGAGCGAGTCCGTCCCGCATGTGCTCACAGTCTGGGCCATAGAACAAGAACTTGGAGCGTGTATGCTCATCTGCAAATAATGGCATAAATACGTTTAAGCATTAAATTAAAGACAAAGTATCGAAGATAGTCAGCTCACCTATGAAAGCGCTAACAATTGTCCAGGCAATAGGAAATACTCGTGGAGCACGTACGACCAAAACACGGCCCATTGTCTCCGGATAGTTGCGCTCAACGGTTTCGGTGATGTAGAGCAAGGCCTTAATGCCGGGACGCCATAAGTGTCGCATGGATAGACCCTCCAGATCGACCAGAAGCGACCAGTTTAGCACTGGCTTATCCAAACGCTCGGCAGACTCATTAATCTTCTGTATGCCCTCCTCACAAATATGCAAAGCCTGAGGAAAAAATGGTTTTCAAAATGAATGGAGTTAAAATTGATTAGGCAACTGACCAATCTGAGTAAGTCCTCCATGCCAAGGGACTTGAGCAGACCCTTGACATCCATGTGGCCCAGTCGCAGTATATAGATGGGTCGGCCATCCTTGTCATGATGATGCCAGCCACCCGGAAAATGTTCGACAACAACGGCTGGCTTGCTGTATTCCTTGAGCAGTGAATCGATGCGATGTTCACGGCGCCATTTGAGTGAATCACAGAGCATTGAATAGGCCTGGCTGACGTGCCAATCGCGTGCTGACAAGAAACGCAAGATGGTCTGATAACTGGGCATACGCTCCAGATCATCGACACCATCGAGCATTTTTCGCAGCTCCAACAGCTTGGACTCCTGCATGGGCGATAGTTGACCCAAATTGCGTGCTATAAAATCACCATCAAGCAGTATATCATGATGTTGTTCTGTGGTAGGCGATTTGGGTGCATCCAGTGGCGGCATCCAGCGTTCCACATGCGTAACGCCCTCATCCTCCAGCTGTCGGATGAAAAACTCAATAATCTCCTTGCCCTTGAGCGTCGTTTGTGTGTATTGTTTCATGCCCATTTTCTCCATGGAATGCTCGAACCCGAAAAAATTCTTAATATCGAGCGTTGCGGTCTGATCGAAGCATGTCCATTCGGCATTGTCCGGATGGACATAGTAGCGGCAACGCTCAAAGATCTCAATGCGCGACGAGAAGCTCTCGTTGACCGCCTCGATGCTCAGCGTTCGATTGGACATGTCCAAGAAGTTGTGCTGCAGAAAGAACACATAGTCGACGCCAATCAGTTTCTTGAAGATGTAGGGCGCATCGACGGCCAGCTTGCAGCGACGACTTGTATTCCTTTTGGCCCCATTCTCCAGGCACTCGTCCTTGATGACCTCGCAATCCAGCACAATGGGCATCTGGGGGCATATCGGAAAGCGTCGCTCGTAAGCCTAAGAATGAGAAGAGTCAGTCATAGTTGTAGTTGTAGTTGTAGTTGCATTATGTGTGCATGTTTGTCGACTATTGTCGGCATTCTGCCAATGGCTCATTGCCATTAAACAGCAGCCAATTTATGAAATGCAAGTGTACTTGAACTTGGCCTATAGCCATGGGCTCAACAGATATTGATAGAGATATAAATATAAATATGTATGTAAGCTAAATATTTGCATAATCATTGCCAATTAAAGAAAAAACAGCTGTCTATTTATGTGTGCCAAAGGTGAAAATATAAAAGTTTTCTGCATCGCAAAGGTATTTTGAAGGCATTTTAGAACGAATTTAATAAAGCCTTGAACCTGTTTCGAGTAAATTATTTACTTTATGTATATATATATATATATATTAACTGAAAAGCAAATGGCAGAGTTAACATTAAATAAGAATTACGATCGCAGTTGAATAAATAAATGTGATTTTAAAGTAGAGACTTATTTACGTTTCAAAAATAACTTTCTAATTACTGCAGCAATCGGTTATAGGTTTTGCAAGAGAATTAAGCTAAACAATTTTTCGGTACTTTATGATTATTGCTTAATGCTGCCCTCATTATCTCGCCAAGAGGCGTAAACAAACAAATACGGAAAAATAAATTTCTACGCAGCTACCTAAACAAATACGGCTGCAACTCAACAGCATACAAATATTTTGTTATATATACACAACTAATGTGGAATTAAATTAAAGTGCTTCCAGATATTATTCTATATTATTCTTTTTTGTAGGAAGATTTTATTTAATGTATATTGACTGTGTTGTGTCTTCTCGACGATGCGTTGCCGATACTTTTATTGCCTGCATTTTTATTGATTTTAAAGAATAAATCAATAATTATTGTATTTTAACAAATTTTTAACCGCAGTCACACGCCCTTTAAAGTTGTAAACGGCATTCGCTGACATTTGAAGGGCTCACACGCTCAAGGATAATTAAGTCGACTGCATAAATATTTAAAAAGTTGCCAGGCATGCAGGCGACGTGCCCGGCACGTGATCCTTGTCACTCGGCTGGGAAAATGTTGTCGATTTGACAACTTGTTTTTGTTTACACCCTCAAGTTGTGCCACGTTGAACTTTCAATTATTCAGACCGTGTGAAAAGAAGCATAAGTTCAACTGATGCACAGACTCAGCTCTGCCGTTCACAGCAGATTTATAGCCTGGTATAATGTTGCCACTGTTGCCGTTAAGCAAAGTCGGCAGTCATATAAAATGCTAATTGCCCATTAAACGTTGTCTTGTTGGTTTACTTCACGATATTGGGTCTAGCTTTTTGTCGCCTCTAAATATAGACAAAGTGTGCAAATACTCTCGGCCCATGTGACGTATGCGAAATAAAACACAAATTATTGTCACGTTGGCGGCTTGACGCTGATGCCAAATTGATATTGATGGCCTTGAGCACCATGCATTTAGCCCACTATCTATTCGTTGTTACGTCAATGTAAACAAACTCACAACTTTCATTATGTCGCCTCCTGCTGCGTTTATAAATAGATGACATTTTCTTTTGAATGTTAAAGAAGAAGCTTTTGAATACAACACATCCCGTGTTGTCAGTTCCAACTATTTTATTGTTATTTTTGTAAGTCAGTGTTTTACATCATTTCTGCAGCGTATGCTTTCCCAGCTAACTAGCAAGAAGAATCGAGATAATAATATGTTTGCATATTCTTCAATAAAGAAATGAATGAACTCTGCAAATGATAAGTCAGTTTCTCTATTTTTAAAATGGTTGAGAGATAAAGTGTTTATATTTGTTAGTTTTAATCAAAAGTGCGCTTTTGCTGTCAATAAATTATAATTAATTATATATTTAAATATATAAAATTTCAAAGCATTTATTTTCTTTTCAATATCCTGAACTCATTGAAAATGAGTAACAAAAAGTTGTGCAAAGAAATATATTCTTGATCAGCATTAATTTCGAGAAGCTATCTATTCTTATCAGTCTTACGTATTTTCATTAAAGTCTCAAGTTCTTAACTTTTTTTAATCACCGAAACGCTCTCTTCACTTTCCAGATTGTGTGGGTCTGTAGTCCACATAGACAAAATGCGTCAACAAAAGTGATAGCTGACTTTGTGTAGCTTAAAGCGATTATTTTTACTGTTAAGCCAATTAGTTAGTCTTTCTATGAGTAAAAGCACTGCGCAATGACTACGCAATTTCTCGCTGTTTGTGTTTTTTCTTCTTTCTTTTTTTCTATTTTTTTTATTCTAAAGTCAATGACACTCTGATGGGTTGCGTTTGTTACACCCAACGACAAGTGCAAACTATTTCATTTAAAATCATAATAAATTGATTTCCGACAGCAGGTCACTGAATTCTCAGCGTATTTGCGACGCAATAATTTTATGCGAAATTTAATCAAATTTCCAGCTAGCCTTCTAGTTACACAGCTAAAACAAAATGTGTTTTGCAGCTGCTTATCAGAAAGATAGTCAATTAGTATCTGACACGATATGATTAGGAATGAGCCATTGCGATGTTATCAGCTGGGACATTCAAATAGCCTTGAAGAGGGCCATATAAAATAATTTAACATTTAAATAAAAATATAATTGGAATGGAATTAAAACCATATCAGATATTTTGAATTCGTAAAGATATTTTGTACACTTCTAAAATTATTTTCTTTAATCTATCAGCATATGTATGTAAGGGTATTTAATTATGGAGAGCACCAATCACCAAGCTAACCAACTGATTATTCTTGTTAGTTATTGGCCGCCGTGTGTTATGAGTGCCATTTGGTTGATTGTTGTCCATTGTCGACAATGGGCCATAATCACTTACTTCCTGCATGTCTCTGTCTCTGTCGCTGTATGGAATGCAAATCACGAACCGGGCAGCTGCCCGGTGTTCTTTACACCTCGACCCGCCGAACGACAAAGCGGACAAATGCGACGCTCCATTCATGAAATTATAGACGCGGATTATTCAATTGAGCGAACAGCAACAGACACAGAGAGAGACAAAGCGAGAGAGAGAGAGAGAGAGACAGAGCGTGAGGAGAGCGCGAGATGAATATGGAGAGATAGACAGAGATGGAAAACGTCAAGGTTAATTTCATTAATCTGCTGCACGCGATGCGATGCGACAGCCACAGATAAATGCTGGCGGAAGGAGTCAAGCAGCTGGTTGAAAAAACAACGGAAACAACGGCAGCTGTGCTTAATTAATAACTTGTAAGAATTATATTTTATACGATTAGTTTTAACACAGCCACGCGCCTGGCGCATGCACACACAACAGACACACACACAGAGAGAGCGACATACTCATGAGGGGGGAAGAGAGGGGGCGCTGTTTATGACACGCCTACTGCAAACAAGATACACACCTTCATAACGAGCTCAAAGGGATATTTGTAGACGCGCACAGGCGATTGGAATTTTTGCACCATTTTGTTGTTTGCTGGTTGGCACTTGGTCACTGGTTAAAAATCAATTTTTACTTTCTAATCAATTGCACTGCTTCTGTTTCAATGCACAAAAATGCGCTAAAAAGCGCCTTTTAATTCTCACTCAAATTTTGTATTTTGTTATTAACAGTTAAGTCAGTTTTGTTGTTGTTGTTTTTTTTTTTTTTTGTTTTGATTCTAATTTTGTTGAAGTTTAGTCGAATTCGATGTGTTTCTTTTGCAGCCCCAGCGTTTGTTATTGTGCTTGCAACTGCTGCAGCTGGCTGAAAAGAAAGCCTTTCCTTTTTTGTGTACACTCCGCGAGCGTTTGACTGTTTTCGTTAGAGCTGGTACATCAATATATCAATGTATCGATATCGTTTCTCCCATTTACAGTATTATCGATAAGTGCTGTTGAATTTCAAATGGAACTGTTAGTTTAGCAGCACTGAGCGAAAACGGTTTTCGTTGGTATTTTTTAAAAACAAAGTAACCTATTTATTTTTTGTAAATATTTAACTTGTTCCAATTTTTAACTGAGTATAACTATGGATGCAGGTAGACCTGCATGTAAAAAGCGCATCTATTTTACTTATTTATTCACATTATCACTTCTTGCGATCTTTTTCTATCATTTGCTGTGGAATAGTAGAAAAACCAATTTGGAAGTTTCGCGACTGAGAGAAGATATTTCCCTCCTCTCGGTAAATATTCAAACTGTGAATATTTAGCTCTGTTGTTCTAACTTTGACTTTTGACTCTCGCAGGAAACATTGCAGCAGCAACAACGGCATTGCACAGAGAAGAGAGAGGGATACAACCACATCACAGGTGACCCTGCGGTTAGCAAAGGACCCTCAGCTGGAGGAACATGCGATTCGAGCGAATTGAATGCTCAAGTGGAAACGCTATTCAAAAGCAAAATCGGCACTCTCATGGACGATGTTTACAATCTCAAAAAGCAAGTGATGACATCGGGATGTGCCTTCCAGGGCAATTTGCCGGAGACAAAAAATGAAGCAATGGCCCTGTCCACGATGAGGATCAACTATGCCTCCGAGGAGCTGGGCGCAAGCATTATTAATGTGTTAGCAAAGCCAATAGGAGAAGTTAATTTCATTAGGAAACTGCTAGGCTTGGAATTTATGGCCAATCCGCCAGTAAATATGCTGAGATCGAATCTATTGCCTGGTTCGTGTTTTGGCTTTAGAGGGTCGAATGCAACGGTGTTTTTACACCTGGCCAAAACTATAATTATCGAGGAATTCAGTCTGACGCATGTTCCCAAGGAAACGACTCCCAGTCGATGTGTGGATAATGCGCCAAAGGATTTTGAGGTTTATGTAAGCTCAACGCCATTTCATATCGAATTTTTCTATATTTTATTTGATTTGTTAGGGTTTGCCGCCAGGCAGCCACAAAAAGGAACTCTTGGGTCAGTGGACTTATGAGAATGCGCCCAAAAAACGGGCACAGAGTTTCCTTTGTAAAAATACAAGCAGCTTTCAAAGTTTAGTTATTACATTCAACTCAAATCATGGCGCAAATTCAACCTGCATTTATCGGTAATTATTTGTTAACCAAAAAAAAAAAAAAACAACAATATACAATTTAAAGATTTACTTTCCATATGCAGGATAGAGGTGTACGGCAAGTTACCATAGAGAAAACGTGTTAAAGTTGTTTATGTGTTCAAATTGTTAAATGTTCTTTTTCAAAGAAAATACACTTTGTGATACGCCTCATTTTCACAGTTTCTTTTAAAATCGTGACTGCGTCACTGCTACTTGTCCGAATGGAATTGCTTTTAAACAAGTAGCAGTTACTGGGGTACACATTCAATCATCGCCCATCTCTAAGGTGTAGGCTTAAAGTTAGACATGAGCGATAACGATTATCGTTTTGGTTTTGGCAAAGAAAATAAGATTGAAATAAATGAGTTAAAACACGATGGCTTGTGGCGATTGAATCTAAATAACAACAACAACAATCTTGTGGCGTGCAACTCAACACACAATTACACCAGCCCCGATGGCGAGGAGCAGGCAACGCTGCAAAGGACAATGGCAAAAGCGAAACAGAAACAGACAACAACAACAGCAGCAGCAGCAGCCGCCGCCGCCGTAGCAGCAACAGCAGCAGCTGCCACAGCAACTACAACAACAATAATACCAATACCAATACCAACAGCTACAACAACAACAGCTGCAGCAGCAACAACAACAACGATGGGCGCTGTTGCTGTTACGCCCACTTGTGTCGCACACATCGAGGACGAGGGCGGAGGAGAAGAAAGTGACGGCGCTGTAGCGGATGACGATGACGGTGACTGCGCTGCTGCCGCTGCTGCTGCTGCTGCAGCTGCAGTAACTAGTGATAAGGCAAGTTGCCAGCAGTGAGAAGGGTACCCTTCCCTCATCGAGGGTATTCTGATATTGTAGGCAGTAAATAATTACATTTATTATTAGTATGTCTGGTTCCGTCCGTCTGTTCGTCTGTTGCTATGCACACCAGTCTCAGTTTTAATACCCTTGCAACGGGTGTTTCAAAATTTGTTGAAAAGTGAAATAGGCCGCATCGAACTACTTTCATATAGCTAAAATTGGAACAATCGGTGATTTTTGTTTTTTTTAAATATGTAATGAGATAAGCAGATTGAAGGGAATTTAATCTTCGGCATACCCAAGCTATCCTTGACCCTAACTTATAGTTCCCAAGGCGGCGCTTTCTTTCAAAAGGGTATTCAATCTTTGGCAAGGCAAAAAACAAAAGAATTGTTTTTCTTTTCATGTTTATGTGTTTTGTTGCCATTGTTTATTGTTTTTGTAATAATGCAATTATTGTTGCTTCATCCAGCTGAATGGCATTGGCTTCGGCATGGGCATTGGCATTGGTGTCGGGATCGGCGCTGCCTACGCGCTGAGTGCGCTGCCTGCGCTCAATTGCGAGTTGGCTGCCTCCGCACTCTCGCCCACCGATGCAGCCGTTGGGGGACTCAGCTCGAGTCGCACCTCGATGAACAACTCGACGGAGAACCTGAGCTATGCCAGCGACAATTACTATGCCGAAGATCTCATACTGCTCGACGATGATGAGGACGATGACGAGGACGATGATGTGGAGGCCGAGGAGATATCTCTCAATTCGGATGATTGCGTCTATGCGTATCGTGGCGATGCCGCTGATTTTGATATGGCAGCGCTGGATGCCAGCACCGGGCGTGGCGGACGTAATTTGGATTTTGGTCTGGTGCGCGATGACGAGACGGATTTTCTCGAAATGGACTTTGAGCCGGATCCATCGTCGGAGCTGGAGTTTGCGGCCAGCGCACAGGAGGCGGCCGCAGCTGCCGCTGGTCATGCAAATCTCCTGCTCATGCCACGCGACTACAGTCAGTTGCAGAGTGGCAGGCACTTGTCCACGCCCACACAGTCACGCCAGCTTTACAGCTCACCCATTGAGGAGCTGGCGATGCCGGCGCCACAGGAGGCATTGCAGCGTTTGAGCAAGAAATTTGCACGCATTAGTCTGAATCTCGATCAGATCAAGAATGATGGTGATGCTTGCTCCGATATGGATGCGGATGAGCTGCTCTGCGGCAGTGGCGGTGGCGGTGGCGGCATCGGCGGCGGCATAGGCAGCGGCAAGGATGATGAGGATCTTTTAGGTGCAACCACTTCTGGTGCAGATGTAAATACGACCCTAGCACACTCGCTGCCTAGCACATTGGTGTACAGCAGCTTCAGTCGCAGCACCAGTGTGCCCAGTGGAAATTCGCATGCCACGGAGGAGCCCTGCAATTCCAAGCTAACGGGCGCCAAGCCCAAACGTCTCAGCACACTCTCAAACTCATCATCACTGGTGTCCGCCAGCAAGAGCTGTGCCTCCTCCTCGTCAAAGTCGCGACGTTCGCAGCCCAGCTTCGATGAACGATGCTACAGCTGCACCGATTTTCGTGCCGTCTCCTTGCAGCAGCAACAGCAGCACCAACAGGATGTGGCGCCCATGCTGGTCGCCGCGGCAGCTGTAGTGGCGGCCAGTGCCGCCATGGCCAGCAATTCCACACAATTCGATTTGGGCAGCGGCGAGGAGACGTGTTTGGACTGCCTGGAGAAGGAGTTTCTGGCCAACACCATTGGGAAGGCACTCGATCTGAGCAGCTGTGCCAAGTGCCGGCGACGCGGCGGCGGTCGTGGCAGCAGTCTCTCGCTCTATGCCCGAGCCGAGCAGACGCGCTGTCGGAGCGGCTCACCGGGCTATCTGGATGAATATGGCGGACTATTCAGCTGGCACAATCCGGCTGGTGGCGCCGGCGACATTGGTCATTACAACCAAAGGTTTATTTCGTGTGATAATAATTTTGGCGGCATGCAGGTGAGCTGAAATAGATTTCTCTGTTTTTGTAAATAAATCAATATTTTTGTTTTATTTTGTTCAGCTTTAGTTAAAGTGTTCAATCATGTTCAAGAAAATCCATATCTATAATTATCTTATAGACTAACTTGCACTGTCCTCTTTGGAACAAAGTTTGTGCATTGCTTGATTATATTTTTGTTTGTTAAATAACAAATGAACCTTTGCAAACACTTCAACACAATCAAAAGCACGCAACTGCAATCATAACTTTTAACTTGCTTTTAATTTAAGCTTTATTTCCCAGCTCATTTATAGATAAAAAATTTGATTCAAGCCCTATTTTCTAATTTATTTCTTAGCTAATTTGATTTTACTTCGAGCACACTTAGAAATGCTTGGATAATTAGACATATAAAATATGACAATGATAATAACATTGCAAAAGCTTTAAATTAATTAATTATCAGCACAATCCTAAATCTTTTAAAACATATATTTAACAATTTGTTGTATCTGTTATTTGTTTATTTGTATTTCATATGAACAGCTGCTCAAGCAAAGCTTTTCGACTGAACCGCTGGTGGAGCGCCTGTCCACGGCGCATCTGAGTGAGGAGCATCTGGTGCAGGCGCTGGACAAACTTCACATTTCCTACAATGCATCCCTGTTGCATGCCTATTTTGAGCAGCTTGCGGCGCCGTCGCCACGTGTCACCGACGCAGCCAATCTGAAGCAGCTGCTGCTGCATGCCTCCAAGCAGCAGTGCAATCATCGCAAGCTCAAGAATCTGATCGAGCTGATCACCCGGCAGCAGCCCCAGCAACATCAGCTCAACGTACAATTCAAACGCGTAAGAAAGAAAAGACGCTTCAAACTATACCGAATATATATATTAATTAGCTCGCATTTAATTGTAGACCAACGCTAGCCAAACAGCGCTGGTGCCCGTGAAGGTAACGGATATTCTGGCGGCCTGGAAGCGCCATCGCGATCTCAATGTGCTGCGGCAGTTGGATGCGCGTTTCCATCTCGCCAATGTGCTGGGTGAGCTATGTGAATTCATTTCCTTTCAATACCATTTTAACATTATCGCATTGCAGGCAAAATTGGCCACATTGTGCGACAGGCACAACAGACGCCGGTGGCATCAGGCTCAGCGGCAACAACATCCGCATCGGCTGCGGCATTAACTTCAATCTCGTCAACGCAGCTCGAGCTGCCTGAATTTCTAATGATACCGCAGTATTATGCTTGTGGTGAATTAACATTGACACGCAAATGTTAGAAGCTGCCACACACTCACACACACCCATACAAACACACACAAACACGCCACATAATACGCTTATGCGTGGTTGCTCCTTGTTAATTTTTCAATTTTCGAGATTCTTGAATGCAACGCTGCAAGTTATATAGGTCTATTCCGGTTAACTTCTTATCGGACTTATCGGGCTTATAAGTAACTTTCACATAAATAAATATTATAATATTTAAACTGGTGACATGAGCTCGGTTCATATCAGATCTCTAATATATATTTGTTCAGTTCTGTTAAAGTTCTCAAATGAAATCAGCAAAATAACTACTATTTAATATCTTTCTATTTTTCTGTCGAGACTTTGTTTTGTTATATATTTTATACGGTTCAATGAGTATTTGTTTGTTGTGCGTTAAAACATGAATTGCATTTAAAAATCTTTTACACAAACAGTTTATTGTTTTAGAAACGATTCTATTCAATGAAATGAAAATCGGATTAATATGAGTATAGGATTTATGTCTTTTATCTAGATAGGCTTTTGTCATATTAGCTAAACTTTGTTAAACGATTGTCATCAGTTAAAATATTTGGGATTTATTTTGCTACGCTGATACGACTGATAAACCACCGAAATGAGACATGAGAATAAACCGGAACAGATCTGTTTATGTTCTAATTGCATTTGAAAGCCAATGCTGCCTATTAAAAGAAAAGAAAATCAAAGAGCCACGCATAAGCGATAGAAATAATTTTGTTGCCGCTGCTGCATTAGGGGGGGAATTGCGGCGACTCGGCAGTCAAACAAAACGAAAAGAAAATAAGAGAAAGTAATGTGCGGATTTATGTATGGTTTATAGACGTTACTCACAATAACCGTTAATCGATTTGCAATATTTATATAGAGTACCACATATTTGAGTACATGTCACGCCCACTAACGTATATCACAATATAAAAATATATAGATACATACATGCATAAAATAAATTTATATACATATATATATAAATAAATATATATATATACAGTATATATAGCTTAGCTTGTATACTAATTAAGTAGCCAAGTAAACTCGCACACACATCTACACACACTCACACAGATAAGGCGTTTATACGTGACACTAATCGTGACTTCGGATTGATTGCAATTTAATTAGATTATTAAATTCCACACACAATGACATACTCCTTAATTATTTTAGAATTTGTTGCAAGCAACTTGGGGAAGCACGATTAGAGGAGCGTGTAAGCGTCGAGAGATCGAAATTTGAATACACATACTCATCACATTTCAAGACAAAAAGACGCAGCCTCAACTCCTTGGACTAGAATAATGTCCCCCCCTGAAATAATGCATCAACGGTGAGAATGTTTTTGTTTTTAATAAAATTACGCTTTATAATATTATTTCATGTGTGAATCTCCCTAAAACTGAACTCCACCAATTGATTTAAAAACAAAAAAATAATGCTTTTTTTATTGATAGCGTTGCTGCTGCTGCTGCTGTTGTTGTTGCTGCTGTTGGCGTCCAGCATTGTAGTAGCCGGGTGCACCGCCGCCACCACTGTTCGCTCCTGGTCCCGGTCCCATATTAGGGGGCATGGATGGTGGCAGTGCCGCAGCCGCATAATGGGTCGGCGGTGGCGGTTGCTGTGTCCACGCATTGCCCGCATATGGCGGCATGGGCACAACGGGGGGTGGCGGCGGCGGTGGTGCATGGTACATGTGGTAGTTGGCAGCATTGCTGTTCAAGTTACTCGTTGGCGGTGGTGGCAGTGGTGCACCCACAGCATTCACACCAATGCCTAGCGGCAGCGTATCACTGGGCGGCGCCAAAGGCCCAGAAACTGACACCACGCTCGCCAGCGATTTAATGGTCTGTATGTTATTAAGCTCGATGTTGCCACCGTTACCACTGGGCTGTTGGGATGCTGCTGGTGGTGGAGGACAATCGACGTTGGCAGTTAGAGATTTAACATTGGTTGTCGGTGTCGGACTGTCGGCACGACTGGGTGGCTTCTGTGGCGGACTATTCGGTTCCTGGCCCTCCTTTTGCGTCGACTGGTACAGGTCCAGCACCTGATGGCAAATATCCTCGAGTATCTCCATGGTGACATTCGACACGAACATATCCCACCAACGCTGATGCTGCGCCTGCCGTCCCAGCCAATCCAGTACTGTGAATTTGCTCAGCTTGCTGGCCAAGTGTATTAGAGCCACAGCGATAATCTCCGGCTCCCATTGCAGACAGACCACAGTGCTGAGGGAATCATTTACAAAATTCCACGCCATTTGTACCATCTTCTGCAGTTTCTGTTGGTCGCCCTTGAAGCACTTGGCATACTTGAGGAGGAACGTATATGGATGCTCCACCTGCAGATCAAATTTGATCGTTTGCAGCAGTATGCGCTCCAGTGTCATTACCTCCTCCTTGGGATCATCGCCGAACGAGTAGAAATAATTGTCATTGAGTATGCCGCGTGCCGTTTTGATAATGTCGCGACATTTCTTGGGCGTCTCCTCCACTTTGCCGGCGAGGAACAGGCAACAGCACGCAGTAACGTAGCGTGGAAAGCTCTTGAACGAGTGAAACATGTAAAAGCGGTGGAAGTAGACGACACCGGTGGCCATTGTGTTGTGGCCGAGGCCCATTTTGGTGCCGCACTCCATGATGAAGCGTGCGCCTTCCTTGCGATAGCGACGCTCCGTTTCGTATGTGGCGCCATCCAGAATTGAGGGTGTCTCACGTAGTTCTTTTTTGTCATAGTACCAACAAGGCATCTTATTCCTGGCCAACCAATTTTTTTTTGTTTGGTTGTCTATCACAAGAATTAGTGGTTTTCCATATGGGATTTTTTAGGTTTATTTATTTATTGGTATTTCTTTTTTGTGTGCGTAACCAACGCTTAATGCGAATACAAATTTGTTGCATCTTGTTGTGTGCTATTTTTTACTTGCAGTCATTTTATTCAGAACACATCGTTTTTCCTAATACTATAATCAAAATTCTGTTAAATAAGTGCTTAAGCATGCGTTAATATTTGTGGTATTAAAAACGGTGCACCTTCAGTCAGAAACAGCTGTTGTCGTTTTCAGTGTGACCATGTGCTTGTAACTAAAGCGCGTTCAGCTCGTGTTCATATTCAAAATGATGCTAAATTACATATGTATGTTAAAATTAAAATGCTAGTTTATGTGTTGACATGGTTTTACAGAGTGTGGCAACGCTCTTGGGGACAGCAGCTGCAGCAATCAATCTGGTCACTTGTACAGCGCGGTTTTTGACTGAGCCTTTTATATATTTAAGAAACATTAAGAATGTTTTTATGACTTTTATATGTGCCAAATGCGACTTGTTTACATGAGAAGTTTTTGCTTGGATGGATTGGGAATTTTTGCGTTGACTTTGATTTTAAGGTTAATAAATCTAATATCTAATCGAATAATTGATTGTAGTTTTTCATGTTGGCTTTTCGGCTAAGTTGCTTTTCCACGATGTTATATTTATTGCCGGCGCCGCCTGCATCAAATGGTACGACAACTGCTACCTGTTGCCAATTGGCAGTTACCAGTTGCCATGGCCAATGTACAGCCAATTAGCCGCAATGCCTTGGCTTAGTTGAGGTAACTACTATTTTTATAACCAGCCTTTCCAGTTGTCGTCGTTGTCGTCGGCCTAATATGCCATGTGCAGACATCAAGTAATGCGGTCAACAGCTCACACATCGCCTCGTCTAACAGGAATTTGGTTATGTGCCGACGACTCCTCCAGTCTTCCAGTTTTTACCCCGCCCACTTTTGTCGCATTTGGGAACCTTTTTTTTTGCATTTTGCATAACAGCAGCATTGCAAAATACCAGAAACTGGTTTGCATTGCGCTCGAGGAAGTGTTGAGAATAAATAACAATGGCGCGCCCTAGGCTGCCAACCCAGACAAGTCAAGAGCTTTATGTGGCTTGATGCCTATGTATACATATACATATATCTATAGCTTTATCTATGTATCTATGCAGTAGTCGCTTCCTGGACGTCAGTTGTTAGTAATAATAATAAATTGGGTTTTCTATATCATTCCATACCAACTAAATTGATCATTTTATGAATTAAACTATTTCCTTGGCGAACTTAAAGGGCTTTTAAAAAATGTTAAAAAGAGCTTAACAACTAAAAATAATTGAACATAATTTAATTTCTCGCTTATCACCATATATTCTAAGCTGATTTATATAAATTCACAAAAGCTTTATACGTAAATAAGATCTAATTTCTAAACGATGCTTATTTCTGGTAGTTTCCATTTCCCAGCGCACGCTGCAGCTGTAAATTCCAGCATTGAGTTTTATCTCACATTTCATATACAATTTGTATGCACAGTTGCAGTCTGTGCATTTTTTTTATTTGTATTTTTTGTTGTTCATTTTCTTGCTGCTGATGTTATTAACCTTGCCCAGTTGCTTGGAGCCTGCTGCTTCCTTGGGGGCGCTTCCAGACAGGTCCAAGTTAGTTAAATAGAATTGTGCCGGTCCGAGTGATGAGAAACAGAGAAACATACTATAACCAGTTTATTGACGTTCTTTAGCTTTTACTTTGCCCGTGGTCTGTAAAACCGATCGCAATGCGCTCCACCAACCGTCTCTCTCTCTCTCGCTCTCTCTCTCTGGAGCGGTCTTTCTCTCTCTCGCTCTCAATGTTTTTGTATGTGTGTCTACCTGCTTGTCGCGTACACCTTTCGGCCGTTTAAGACACGTTTGCAGCTTCGTTGCGCTTGGCGTTCGCTCGACGCTTTTTAGTCACTTTTAAAACGTCGTCAGCGTCGCCAGTTGCCAAAGCGGATCGCGCAGCTGGCAAAAGCAGCAGCAGCAGCAGCAGCAACAACAAAAAACTACAACAACAACAAAAAAAGTATCAATAAAAAACATTCCGTCCAGTTGCCTTGTAGTTGTATTTGTTATTTTTTGTATCTTAAAAGCGCGTTCGTTTCGGACAACGGCTCTGCAAATAAAGCATAAATAATAATCAAAGAAGTGGCTGCGAGTGCTAAACAACAAAAAGAGTGCTTGCCTAGGCAAATAACAAAAAGAAAAAAAAAATAGAAGCTTTTCAATAATACAAAAGCTAAAAAGCAAAAAAGCAAATGAAAAGAAAATATGTTATAAAGAAAAAGTTATAGAGTAACCACAAGCTTCGTATCGCGATCTTAGTCTCTTTCTCTACCTGTGTATCTATCCATCTCCCACTATCTCTATAAGCTATAAACCAACTCCTCCCAAGCTTCCCTCTACTGCATGTATTCTTTGGAATCATTCTATGTGGATTATCGTTACGAGTCAAGCGTTGCATTATTTGGAATATTTTTTACGTTATACCTCAGTCGATAACGATAAATAAGTAAGTTTTGAACAATTTTAAACATAAGTTATTCAGTCTAAGTCTTCGATAGTGAACAGAATTTAGCAGAAACGAATAATTTGTATATGAAATTTCACCTGTAATTTAGTTCGTATTAATTATTCATCTCTATTTTAGTTGATTCAGTTGTGTAGTTTTTAGCCATCCTACATGGGAAATTGGCGTTGCTGCAGGTTTATTTGTGATTTATCATCGCCGCTCGCATTTCACTACAAAAGTCGTCGTCGTCGTCACAAAATTAAGTGTTAAGTGTTTGTCGATTAGATCATCTGCGGGGCGCGTCAAGCCGCTTAACCAAGCTAATGAGTGTTTTGGGCGCCTGGGCGGGCGCAAGCCAAGGCCATTAGAGCCTGATTTCTTCGAGCTGAGCCGCGAGTTGATTGAACCTGCCACACACAGCATTCAGTCATGTGGCAAGTTGCAGGTAGCTCAAATTCAAAACGGATTGCTAGCTAAATGCCTGAAATACGCTCGATTGCTACAGTGCGCTATATAATTATAGACACGGGCCTGTGTTTAATTTTTAAATTGCACTTCAATTTCTGGAAAATCAATGCAGTTGATTCATTTGTATAAAAGGGAAAATATATATGAAAAATATACTATGTTTGTGAGTATGACAAATCTTTCGCATTGCTTTTCAAAGATTAGTCAATTTATTTCGTGAGTTCATAGTTTATGTACCAAATACAATAGCTAATTAGAGTCAAGGCCTTTTCAAATTGCCACAATAATAGTGAAATTATGTAACATTGTTGATAAGTTTGAATTTTCCTTAAAGTAATTTGTGTAAATATTTAAGCATTGAGATTTGCTGGAGTTTGTAGTTGTAGTTGTGCTATGACTAACATAATCTAATTTAAACAGAGAGCAGTCAGTAGCTCTACAAACTCTATAATATAATACATGAGTCAGATCGTATTTGCTGCATAATGGCTAACAATAAATAGTAATTATTGATTTTGTTGGGCTTTGAAATTTAAATACTCAACTATTATGTATAATTATAAAGCAATCAAATATAATATAATTTGCATGGCGTGAAATGTTATTTATCATATAAATTATGCGATTTCATTCCAAATTGGCTTTTACTTTGTAGAAAACTGAAACAGAGTCTTATTTCAATGTTTTCGCTTGAATAGAATACTTTCTATTAAATGCTAAATGCTAAATGCTATTGGCTTTTACGAATTATTCAACTTTTAGATGAGACTATTTTGTTAGCCAACATAGTGATGTAGCATGTTCACAATTCCAATTTGTATCTTGATTTCGCATACTCTCTATTGTTGTTGTTGTTGTTGTTGGGTCTGTGTGTTAATGTTTTTGTACCAGGCTTTTGAGTTGTGTGTTTTGAGGTTTTGCTTTCAACAATATGTTAACAATTTTGATTGGCAATGCGATGCGTGGTGTTTGCATTGTTTTTAGTTGCTCCGCCGTTGTATCTGTTGCATGTTGCAAATTGCAAACAGCCAACTGCAACAGCACTGTAATTGTTGTGGCCGCCGCCAAGCGTAACCACCAACCAGCCCAATGGAGCGGCGTTGAACTCGCCGCTTGGCCGCAAACACTTTTCAAAATGATTCTCCGCACATTCTTGGCCATCTCGAAAAACCGCACGCAATGGAAGCTGTATAATGGCCAAAGGGAAGAGTGATAGAGAGAGAGAGAGAGAGAGAGGGGAAGTAGTAGTGGAGATGCGGAATGGTGATCTGTTGTACAACGCACAACGCACTCGACGTGACCATAAATCACGCGTGCCTTGTCCATATTTGTGGCTCAGTCGCGGGCCACAACCCATCAAATGTCAGCTACCTTTTAAGTTGCTTTTTATTGTCTATATAGAAGTTGTTTTGGCCATATTCGTACGCACCAAAGTGCTCGTAATTTTTGTGTGCCTCTTACAAGTTCCTTGACGCATCTGAACTGCTGCTGCATGTTAATTACCCAAAAAATAAAAAACTAAAAGAGCCAAAACACAAAAAGCAGCTTAAAGCCATTTGAAACATAACTGTGCTTATTATGATATGGCAGCTGTGACAGCTGGGTAAGCAATCAGTCAGATTGGTGATTACTTTGTTAAACCGTTTCACCATTTATATAATTTGTTTGAACTTGTTTTTTTCTTCTTTGTTTTTGTTTTTGTTTTTATTTTGTTATTTAATATACTTTGTAGAAATAGCTGCGCTGCTCGCTTGGTTCATTGAATTACACTTAGCTGAAAAAGCTGGCTCTAGTACTTAATGCAAGTTGAATGCCTTTGTTTAAAAAGTATGGTTGATTAGCGCACATAATTTGTTTATAATATTTTTTCCCTTATTTCTTTTTTTAATATAAAATTTACTATGTTCGTTTGAAATTGGTCGTTCACGATTATGAAATTTTCAAAATAGTTTTCATTTATGAATTTTAACCTCTTTAATAAATGATTAATTTATATATTTTTTATATACTTCTTTTTATTGGTAAACGATTGTTTCGCTTTTTCTTAATAGCATGAAAAATATTAAAATAACTACTTATTTATGAATTATAATGTTTGTCGTATTTTTTTTTTATATTTATACCAAAACTAAAATTAGCCCGGAATCAATAATAATAAATAAATAAATATTTATTTATGTATTTTGTATTATTTTGAAGTTCGACTTTCTTAGTTCGTGCCTATTACAAAAAGTGAGAGCATGGTTATATTTTATTTATAGTTATATGGAGGACAAATAAAAAAAAACGCCTTTAACTTTTACTTTTATTTACAAAAAAAGTTTAAAAAAAAACATTAATAAATGGAAGAAAATCGTAGTTTCAACGGCGCAGCACAACATGAAGACACAAAATGTGGCAAAAAGATGTTGCGCTTGGCTATTTAATAATGATGCGTTACACTTAATTCAATCGCAGTTGGAAACGGCCAAATGAACATGGCTCTTAAGCTGTTTGCTGTTGACCCAGTTCGCATTAGAAGAAGAAGATGATGAAGAAGAACCATTTCCCCGAGCGCCCTATTATTCTATTATTATTATTATGCGAAGTAACAGAAACTTTATAAATCGACTTGCACACATCGAAATTTCTTTTAATTCATTTAATTTCATTTGAGCCAACCAACTCAGGCGAAGGCAGACATCAACGAAGCTTAGCCTTTGGCCAAAGTTATTATTAAGTGTTTTTTGCTTCTATTTCTGTAATTTCTTTCTTATTTCTTATTTCTTTTTTTTTTGCGTTCTACTACCTCCATATACTTTACACATTTATATGCTGACCTGATTAAAGACAGGCACGCACACTGAGTCCCCAAGTTGCGGAGCTCACTGACTCTGGTAGAAAGTGTCGCCACTCTCTTTTCCGTTAAGAGCTTCTGACATTTGTTGACCGCGTTGCAAGACGGCTTATTGAACTATCTAAGTTGGGCCTGCGGCCTGGGTCTGGGCTTGGAATTGGCCTTAGTTGTTTTTTTGGGAGCCATGACGTTGCCTCTAATTGAAAAATAATAAAAGTCAACCAGTTTTCAAAGCTGTCCCTCAACTTTGACATACAAAATGGGTTTTGTCAAAAGTTCATTGAAACGCCATAAAACAACATCAAAATAATGGTAAAAAGGTTTTTAAATATTTTGACAATGCCGAGCAACCAAAATAAGCTCTTAACTTCAGCTTGTTGTTAATTTACAACCAAGCGGCAAAGAATTTTCGACTTTTATGTTTCCCCACGTTTTTTTTTTATTTTTCAGTTTGCTGTTGAAAATTGTAATTAAAATGTTCACAAAACATAGAGGAAAAAAAATTATAGCTGAGAATCTTCTCACATTTATGTTGTGTTGCTTGGCTGGCAATTTTTTACAAGCCATTGTTGTGGAGGAACCTGCCAAAGATCATATGTAGATATTGTGTATAAAGAAGAAAAAATAGCTTCATTAAAGTCTTGCAATCATTATAGACTTAATTTTACTTGATTTCATAAACCAAACGCTGCAAATGCTTTGAACTTTCAAGTCATGTGAAGATTCAAATGAAAGACTTAGATCTTTAAATATGCAAGCAAAATTTTAGACTTTAAGCATTGTTCAAAATTGTATTAGGAAATGTATTCACTTGGTTTTGAATGTCTGGTTTGTTGCTGAATTTGCTATTTATATTTATATTTATTTGTCTAGTGTGAGACGATTGCTCAATTAGCTTTGTGGAAATAAATAATGAAAATTTTACTTGAGCTGCATTTTCAACAGCTGCACAGCTGAATATAAACCCAACATGCTGCAATTTTAAATAATTAAGGTTGCTTGAATAGTTTTATACAAATGCTTAATTATAATGCTTATACTGCTTCGATCGAGCATAGTTTTTTTTCACAATTATAATTTTCAGCGCTCTACATTTGGTCCAAGACTAAAGACAGCATTTCCCCATTTCGAACTTTCAACAAGCGCTTTCTCAGCTAATAATTATGGATTTACCAAAAAAAAAGCAAAGGTAGCATAACAGCTACTACCACTAGTAGACACATGAAATTCAATCGCTTAACAATTTTTGACGCCCCATTTTGGGCCGGACCCGCGCTAAATAGATTGTGCAGCTGGCCCAGCGGGCAGCGTGAAGGCCGCACCGGCGCTTGGTGGAGCCAAGCTATTCGGTCTCCATGACTTTTGACTGCATACAGCATACTGCATAGCATATTCATTTTACACGGATAGTCATATGTGTAGCCACATATAATGACTAATAACGCTGTCGGTTTGCATGCCACAAGGCAACAACAGCACAAACAGCATCAAACAGCAACAATGTCTTGGGAAAGAGTAAGCGAAACTGGTTTTTCGTATTTCTACTCACAAACACACGCTTTGCATTGCATTTATTATTGGTTTTTTTTCTTCTTTTTTTTTTGTTGAAACAATTATTAAATGCTGTTGCCAGATCCGGTCTAAAATTGGAGTTGAGCTGCGTATCAGTTTCAGAAATTAATTGATACGTATTCTT